CCAAAAAGAATTTCAAATGTTGATTTGTTGGACCACAGGACACTTTTCCACCCCCCCCTCAGTTTAAATGAGCTCAGGCAGCATTTCTGGATCCTGTTTATGTACAGTTTCTTCTTTGCGTTTTAGAGTTTTAACTTGCATTTGTGGATGCAGTGATGAACTGTTTTTACAGACAGTGGTTTTCAGAAGTGTTTCTGAGCCCATGCAGTGATTTCCACTACAGAATCATGTCTGTTTTTAATGCAGTGCCATCTGAGGGCCCAAAGATCACGGTCAGCAAATACTGGTTTTTGGCCTCGTCCCTTACATACAGAGATTTCTCCAGATTCTCTGAATCTTTTAATGTTATTATGTACTGAAGATGATGAAAAGCAGAAGTTCTTTCCTATTTTATGTTGAGAAACGTTATTCTTGAATTGTTGCACTATTTGATCATGCAGTCTTTAACAAAGTAGTGAACCCCTCATCATCTTTACTTCTGACAGACTCAGCCTCTCCGAGATGCTTTTTCGCTTTATCAGCCTTTTGTTGCCCCCGTCCCAACTTTTTTGGAACATGTTGTCGGCATCAAATTCAAAACGAGCAAATATTTTTCAAAAAAAACAAAATTTCTCAGGTTCAACATTTGAAGTGTTGTCTTTGTGCTATTTTCAAATGAATATAGGGTTTAAATGATTTGCACGTCATTGCGTTTTGTTTTTATATACATTTTGCACAGCGTCCCGACTTTTTGGGAATGGGGTTGTATATAATAAGTAACAGTGAGTAACAGTAGAGTAATAAGTAGAATAGTATCATTATTATTGTTGTGGTTGTTGCTGTATGTAGGACTTCCCCTTGCTGTGGTTGGATGATATAGTAGATGACCACTCCAACATCGTGGGCTTCTCCATGTTCAACACCACTCACCCATTCTACCTGGAGTTCATCAGGAGCCTCAACCTGTCCTGGCGAGAGGGCTGCGACATTAACCCATACCCAGGACCAGCGGTGAGACACACACACACACACACACACACACACACACACACACACACACACACACACTGTTCCACTAATGTTCAAGTTTGGGATCAGTGTTAATCACTAATATATAATCAATAATATAAAATCGTATAAAAGGGTTTAAATGTTTTGGGTCCCGTTTTGTTAGAGGCAGTTTGAACAGATGAGCTGGAGCTTCACGTGTCTCAGAGGAAGCTCATGCTAACCCTCACTCTTGGTGTCTTGTTAAGTTATAATTGTGTATAAAATTAGAGATTATTATAATTATTATTAATTATATGATTATTATAAGTCTTTTTTTAAATACCACAGCTGAGACTGTATCCAGAAACACACTCTCTCCCCTCATACTGATTAATATGTGTGTGTGCTGTGTGTAGCTGTCGTCAGCTCTGCTGTTTGATGCCGTCCATGTGGTGGCGAGTGCGGTGCAGGAGCTGAACAGGAGTCAGGAGATTGGAGTGAAACCCCTCAGCTGTACCTCCCCTCAGATCTGGCAGCACGGCACCAGCCTGATGAACTACCTGCGCATGGTCAGTTTATGTGTGTGTGTTTGTGGTCTGAGCAGTGATGTACTGACATTAGTTTCTCTTTTTGTCTGACTTGAGCCTGAGCTGTAATTTAGCCGGTTTCTAAAAAGATCAATTATTTTATTTATCCAGTATGAATCTGCAGTGTGTGTAGTTTTACAGTCTGACAGTAATAATTGTGGAGCGATTTTAATCCAGTATGAATCTGCAGTGTGTGTAGTTTTTACAGTCTGACACTAATAATTGTGGAGCGATTTTAATCCAGTATGAATCTGCAGTGTGTGTAGTTTTTACAGTCTGACACTAATAATTGTGGAGTGATTTTAATCCAGTATGAATCTGCAGTGTGTGTAGTTTTTACAGTCTGACACTAATAATTGTGGAGCGATTTTAATCCAGTATGAATCTGCAGTGTGTGTAGTTTTACAGTCTGACAGTAATAATTGTGGAGCGATTTTAATCCAGTATGAATCTGCAGTGTGTGTAGTTTTACAGTCTGACTGTAATAATTGTGGAGCGATTTTAATCCAGTATGAATCTGCAGTGTGTGTAGTTTTTACAGTCTGACACTAATAATTGTGGAGTGATTTTAATCCAGTATGAATCTGCAGTGTGTGTAGTTTTTACAGTCTGACGGTAATAATTGTGGAGAGATTTTAATCCAGTATGAATCTGCAGTGTGTAGTTTTACAGTCTGACTGTAATAATTGTGGAGCGATTTTAATCCAGTATGAATCTGCAGTGTGTGTAATGCTGTACTGTTGCTCTGTCTCTCAGGTGGAGTATGATGGTTTAACAGGTCATGTTGAGTTTAACAGCAAAGGCCAGAGGACCAACTACACCCTGCATATTTTGGAGAAACACAAAACAGGACACAAGCAGGTAACATATATATGCACACACACATACATTCACAATATAATTGATCCTACATAAACATTGTGGCTTTTTTATGGGTGTTTTTCTCTAATGACTGGTTTTCTCTGTCTGGGTTCTAGATTGGTGTGTGGTACTCTAATAATACCCTGGTCATGAACTCCACCAGTCTGGACATCAATGTTTCTGAGACACTTGCCAACAAGACTCTTATAGTCACCACCATACTGGTGAGGTCAAAATGCCCTGCATACACAAAGGACCGGCTAGTGTCTATTCACATGATTAACGTTTGTGTGTCCCAACGTTTGAACCCGTAGGAGAACCCGTACGTGATGAGGAAGGTGAATTATCAGGAGCTGGAGGGGAACGAGCAGTACGAAGGCTTCTGTGTGGACATGCTGAGGGAACTGTCCGACATCCTGAAGTTCACCTACCGAATCAAACTAGTGGACGACGGCCTGTACGGCGCCCCAGAGCCCAACGGTTCCTGGACGGGCATGGTGGGGGAACTCATCAACAGGGTATGGACACAACTCACAACATAGATATTCACATTTCATATACACCAATCAGGCATAACATTATGAGCACCTCCTTGTTTCTGCGCTCATTGTCCATTTTATCAGCTCCACTTACTATATAGGTGCACTTTGTAGTTCTACAGTTACAGACTGTAGTCCATCTGTTTCTCTGCATACTTTGTTAGCCTCCTTTTACCCTGGGAGGACCCCCATGGACCCTCACAGAGCAGGTACTATTTGGGTGGTGGATCATTCTCAGCACTGCAGTAACACTGACATGATGGTGGAGTGTTAGTGTGTGTTGTGCTGGTACGAGTGGATCAGACACAGCGGTGCTGCTGGAGTTTTTAAACACTGTGTCCACTCACCGTCCACTCTATTAGACACTCCTACCTTGTCAGTCCACCTTGTAGATGTAAAGTCAGAGACGATAGCTCATCTGCTGCTGCACAGTTTGTGTTGGTCATCCTCTAGTCCTTCATCAGTGGTCACAGGACGCTGCCCACAGGATGCTGTTGGCTGGATATTTTTGGTTGGTGGACTATTCTCAGTCCAGCAGTGACACTGAGGTGTTTATGCAGAGTATGCAGAGAAACAGATGGACTACAGTCTGTAACTGTAGAACTACAAAGTGCACCTATATAGTAAGTGGAGCTGATAAAATGGACAATGAGCGTAGAAACGAGGAAGTGGTCATAATATCATGCCTGATTGGTGTATTTGGAAAATATTGTCATACTAAATGTATCAGCATTGCCCTGCATCTTGTTCTCTGTTGTCTTTTCTCTGGAGCAGAAAGCTGATTTAGCCGTGGCTGCCTTCACCATCACGTCTGAGAGAGAGAAAGTCATCGATTTCTCCAAACCCTTCATGACGCTGGGCATCAGTATCCTCTACAGAGTTCATATAGTACGATATACAGACGTACACACACAAACACTCGGCACCCTCATCTTTACCTGAATAGTTGACAAAGAGTCCCTCTAGTGGTGAGGAGAGGTAATACAGGCAGGGATATCGTTAGGCCTCATTCACCAAAATCTTCCTAAGCTTTTTCTTTTGTTCTTGAGAAGAGTTGTAAAAAAAATCAGCGTCAGATTCATGACGTGTTCTTAAAGCGCAGAGCTGTTCACACCTTTGTGCTCTTGAGTGTGTGTAGATTCTGACCTTACCTAAGAACAAATCCCAGATAAGAAAACATTGATGAATATCAGAATTTTTGTAAAAACTGCATACGTGAATTTTAAGAAGGAATTTCTTCTTAAGAATGGTTGGTGAATGAGGCCCATTGATGTCTAAAAGGAAAAAAATTGGAAAAGCTTTTATTTTTAGAAGGGATTATATTATGATTATCTCCATATTTCTAGTACCGTGCACCACTGCACTGTCAACCAGCATAATATTTATGCGATTTTACTTACTTATGTTTGTACTGCACATTATATTTAGTGGTTGTTTTAGTATATTTTATTATATACTTTTACTTCCCATTCTGTTTATGTATCTGTATAACAGCGTACGGCCATACCTTTGCTGTACCCTACTGTGTCCTGCTGTAATAGACAACTTTCCCTCTGGGATTAATAAAGTGATCTGTCTATCTGTCTATCTGTCTGTCTATCTATCTATCTATCTATCTATCTGTCTGTCTGTCTGTCTGTCTGTCTATCTTTCTGTCTATCTATCTGTCTGTCTATCTGTCTGTCCATCTGTCTGTCTATCTATCTATCTATCTATCTATCTATCTATCTATCTATCTATCTATCTGTCTGTCTGTCTGTCTATCTATCTGTCTGTCTATCTGTCTGTCCATCTTTCTGTCTATCTATCTATCTTTCTGTCTATCTATCTGTCTGTCTGTCTGTCTGTCTGTCTGTCTGTCTATCTGTCTATCTATCTGTCTGTCTATCTATCTGTCTGTCTATCTTTCTGTCCATCTTTCTGTCCATCTATCTATCTATCTATCTATCTATCTATCTGTTTATCCATCTATCTATCTGTCTAACTAACCAAAGTAAATTAAGCAGTGTGAATTTTTGATGTGAATGAAAAGTGAGAGTCTAAATATTTCTGTACTTTTTTGTTGTTGTTTTTATTTTTAATCGTCTCTCCCCATCAGAGCCGAAAGCCAGGCTACTTCTCCTTCCTGGATCCCTTCTCTCCGGCGGTTTGGCTCTTCATGTTGTTGGCGTACCTGGCTGTCAGCTGTGTGCTTTTCCTCGCTGCCAGGTACTCAAACACACGTACACAAATACATACATGCTCACACAGACCGGCTCATAATCACAGAGAGTTGTTTGTGTATTTTGTCGCCTCCAATTCCCAATTCTCTCCCCATATGGCCGGTTTGGAAGAGCCATGGCTGCACACACACTTCCTCTGTGGTGTGCGAGCGCTGCACTCACTTCATTCTGAGCCACCAGTCGAGTGCTGAGTGTCTCAGTGCTAAACGTTCAAGTATGTAACCATGTCAGTCCCTGACTGTTACGTAATGTGCTCTGTAAAGGAGGGCTCGCTAATGCTAATCAGTCACTGTTATGCAGAGTGAGCCACAGGGTACATCTCTGCTCTGAGCAGTGTGACTGTCATGATAGCAGAATTTTGACTTCGATACCAACATATCAAATACTAAATGTAGTATCACCAAAATGATAAAACTAAAAACACTGCCATTATCTAAACACCCAGTGTTACAGATTAATTAATATCTCTCATTTTCAAATTCGCCTTTCTTTTTATCAGTACAGAGCTCTTCATGTTAAATGTGTAAAATAATTAATTAAATAAATGCAGCATGGTCCCATTCAACATGTTCTGGAGGGGCTACATTATAGCACAAGATTCATCACACTGTATTTAAAACAAATACAGTACAGCTTAACATTCATCACACTGTTTAAAACAAATGCAATATAGCTTAAAATTCTTCACACTTTGTTACAGCAAATACAGTATAGTCTAACATTCATCACACCGTGTTCCCTAACATTCATCACACTGTGTTTTATGTACGTGCAATACAGCTGAACATTTATCACACTGCTCAGAACAAATACAGTATAGCTTAAAATTAATCATACCTTGTTACAACAAATACAGTATAGCCTAATGTTCATCACACTGTGCTTGTAACATATGCAGTATAGCTTAACATTCACCACACTCTTTAAAACAAATGCAGTGTAGTCTAATATTCATCGCACAGTTTAGAACAAATAAAATATAGCCTAACATTCTTCATACTGTGTTTAATACAAATACAGTATAGCCCAACATTTACAAGTACAATATAGCTCAACATTCATCACACTGCGTGTAATATAAATACAGTGTAGCCCGACATTCATCACACTGTGTAATATAAATACAATATAGCCCAACATTCATCACACTGTGTGTAATATAAATACAGTATAGCCCAACATTAATCACACTGTGTTTAATACAAATACAGTATAGCCCAACATTCATCACACTGTGTTTAATACAAATACAGTATAGCCCAACATTCATCACACTGTGTGTAATATAAATACAGTGTAGCCCGACATTCATCACACTGTGTAATATAAATACAATATAGCCCAACATTCATCACACTGTTTAATACAAATACAATATAGCCTAACATTCATCACACTGTGTGTGATATAAATACAGTATAGCCCAACATTCATCACACTGTGTAATATAAATACAATATAGCCCAACATTAATCACACTGTTTAATACAAATACAATATAGCCTAACATTCATCACACTGTGTGTGATATAAATACAGTATAGCCCAACATTCATCACACTGTGTGTAATATAAATACAGTATAGCCCGACATTCATCACACTGTGTTTAATAAAAAATACAATACAGCTTAACAGTCATCATGCCGTGTTATAACAAATATAATATAGTCTAACGTCTCATAGTCTGCTTAAATCTTATGTTAATTCATTTCTAGAAGCTTAAAACAGCTTAAAAAGCTGTTACTGAATACAATCCTTCACCTTTATGTTTTAGCTTACTAAAATAAGTAAAGGAAAATGTTGACAGTGTTGAATCGTTTTCCATGTTGTAGTACTGACAAAGCACTGAACTTGTGATATATTGTTCACTGCTGTGCATCAGGCACACACATATACAGTATATTCTCATATACATGGACTTCTGTATGATGCATTCTCAAATAGGTCACAGTGAGTGTTTCTATTTCTGTCTCTTTTTGTCAGGTTAAGCCCATACGAGTGGTACAACCCTCATCCGTGCCTACGGGAGCGCAGGGATATGCTGGAAAACCAGTACACGCTGGGGAACAGCCTGTGGTTTCCAGTGGGAGGCTTCATGCAGCAAGGCTCAGAAATCATGCCCAAAGCCCTGTCCACTCGCTGTGTCAGCGGAGTCTGGTTAGTGTGGGTGTGTGCTTGGGTGTACACCATGTACATGCAGAGGTACTGTTGTGAGAAAAAGGGGATAATGTAAACTGGGTCCAGTACCTGGTGATACAGTAAATGTGCATTGTAGAGCTGGACCGACTAATCTACATTATCAATAATGTCAGTAATATGAAATTATTGGCAACGAATCATGTTATTGATCAGTTTGCTCAATGACAATTGCGCTTTCCATTTATATTGCATAAAAGAGGGAAATACAGATAGCGCCGACTGTAGAACCCACAAAAAATACTATAAAAACACATCACTTTAATGTCATCTAAAAAGATATAGTCATCTATAAGACAGTGGTTCCTAAACTGTGGTACATGTACCTCCAGGGATACTCCTCACCTTGTCGATCAGTTGCCTTTCTATCGGCTTTTTCGGCCTTGTTCCTTTCATAAAGAACATTTCTGAGCAGACATTATGGCCTTGACCTGACTCTTCTTCAGATTGACGCCACACTGGTGTCAGAAGTGGGATTTTGCCACAGAAATAAAGGGCAGGTCACTCCTAGCCATATACTTCTCCTTATGGTAAACACGAGCCCACAATAACTGAACTCACGCCCCAACACAATAAAACACATGATCACATCTTAAACCCAGAAAACAACATTAACGACAAAAAAGGGGGGGGCGCATGCTACCCATGAGCCTCTTCTTATGGCCCCTTTGCATGCATGCTTGCAAGCTCCGATGACATGGCAGCCAGTGCTGTAACGCCACAGTACTTGCAGTTTGGCACTTTCAGCTCACCTGTTTTCTGAAAGAAATGAGTCAGAATGGCCTCTTTTTGCCTTTTAGATAAATATGCGTGGCAGACAGGTAGAGAAGCAATATTTGAAAGGTGATCATGGAAAATGCAGTCTGGTATTATTTATTATTATAGCACAGAGTATCAAAATTAGAAACCAATATCAGTTTATGTCTGAGACTTTAGGAGGACCCCTATTCAGGGAGGGCTCTGGTTAGTCAGGTCCATCCTTACCCGCGGTCTGACGCCCCTGGACGAGAGCATGAGAGAGAATGTACACTGTCTCCAGGTTAAGTCTCCGTATCTGACACGTGATGACTGGACCGTGAGGTCCGTCATTTTAAATTTCATTACTTGAGACCACACAGACGCTATTTAATTCATTTTTGTCTGCAGGTTTTTGTTTCGCAGCTAATCGACACATCCAAATCATAATGGACCAACTAATCGATTATGTCAATAGTCGAGTGTTCCAGCCCTGGAGTCTTAAAAAAGGTGGTTCTTTAAGAGTTCTTTGGTTCTATTTAAAAACTTTTTGAAACCAGCATGTAACAATAGAAGATCCCTTTTTGGTGCTGTGTTCTGTGTAGAACCATATACAGCACGTTCTCCAGCAGTCTGTAGTACCATTCACCATGCAAAGCATGAAAGGGTTTTATATAGAACTCATGGTTCTACACAGAACCATTCTCTTTACTAAAGAACCATGTTTTTTTAAGAGTGTAGTGCATTTTATAGCCACTGCCAACGAACACAAGTGGCCTGAAATGTTCAAGACTGTCTCGTTTCTACCGTCACTAGTTGTCAATCATAAGACTGGAGCAGATTATACATGAATTTCTGAGGATTATGGGCCTCCATGACTCAAGCAGATGGCAGAAGTTCATGACCAGCTCTTCCTAAGAGTGGGTGTGCTACACAGTTTAGCACAAAGGGCTCACAAACAAGTGAGAAAGAACCCTGGAGTAACAGTAACGGTCTGAACTTAGAAACATATGTGTTCATGAATCTTCTATAATAAAACCTCTCTCTCTCTGTCTCTCTCTCTGTCTCTCTCTCTCTCTCTGTCTCTCTCTCTCTCTCTCTCTCTCTCTCAGGTGGGCGTTCACTCTGATCATAATCTCCTCGTATACGGCCAATCTGGCTGCATTTCTAACCGTGCAGAGAATGGAGGCCCCTATAGAGTCACCCGACGACCTGGCGGACCAAACCAACATCCAGTACGGCACCATTCATGGGGGGAGCACCATGACCTTCTTTATGGTATGAACCATATGATTCTCAGTCCAGTCTCTGTTTCTTTTTAGCTTTTTCTTTCTCTCTTTCCCACAGGTGTCAATGACATGGCATGCAGTTTCTGTGTCCAAGTCCGATAATTTTTTGTTTCATTATTATTTATTAATTTAATAAGTACATGACATACATCACATTATTCTGCCACTTTAAAAATAAGTTTCATTTTAGGCATTTATGCCTCCCAATGACTAAAAATGTCAGGTGGTGCGACTGTTCAACACAGAGGTGGATTACAGTTTTTCTCAATTGCTGAACACATTTAAGGGAACTGGGTTCACTTAGTCTTCATTGTCACCTTCTTAGAATAGTAGGAGTGTCCCTTTGGAGAAGTGTTAAAGGTGCAGTGTGTAAGATTTGGGGGGATCTATTAGCAGAAATGGAGTACAGTATACAAAACCATGCTTAGAATGAGCCCTACATAGGGAGCGGGTCCTCGCCCAACAGAGGCAGCCATGTTTCTACAGTAGCCCAGAATGAACAAACCAAACACTGGCTCTAGAGGGCGCCTTTCAAGTTTTTACATTGAAGCGGCAGCTTGAATTTGATGGCACTGTAGCTCCGGTTAGAAGAAGCAGAAAGAAGAAGAATTGGTGGTTGCTACAATTTTGTTTTGTGGGAAGTTTGAGACCCTAAAATGTGACAAATGCAGCATCAAACTTATTATTCAGCACAAGAAAAACTGAGGGAGGGTGAATCCTCATCATCAAAGGAGCGAAATCATGAAGAAGCAAAACGAAATCAGGACAGCCACTGTAGGTTCTACTACATGCTTGGAAAGGGAGGGGTGAGGGAGGGGTATTCAGTTGGTTGTAATCTGCAACCTCACCACTAGATGCCACTACATCTTACGCACTGCACCTTTAACACGTTCTTAATGCTTTGTAATTTTTAGACCGTTTTGGCCTCTGTTTAGTAATGTGTGTAAACTGTATGGATGGACCAAAGGGTTTAAGCAACGGAGAAAAACTGTAAGGAAACAATTAATAAAGGTTCAATTCTAAATGAAAAAGTTTGGCATGATTTTATGAAACCTTTAAAATCATAACACATATAGAACAATAGAGCAGCAATAGGGCAGCTTTAAAGTCTTCAACTAATCGGAAAACTTTTGTCTCTAAATTTTCATTTCCTCACATCAGTCATGCAGCACATCTGACAACAAAGGACTTTTATTTTGGCATGCTTTTAAGAGTGGGTCGTGTTTTGCATTGTAAAGAAGCTCTCAAGTGACCTTCATTGTGCAAAGTCAGCAGCCCTTTCACCAACACTGAAAACATTTTTCATTGTTGAGCTGTAGCACGTACTATAAATAATGATGTAATAATAATAATAATGTTTTATTTATTTAAAAATGTGTAAACCTGAGCTCGAAGGCGAGGGTTTCCACCAACGTCCAAGTACAAAGACTAGTTTATATGCGGTTTTCAGTAGTCGTAGATTAAATACACACACTGTGTGGTCACACCAGCTGACATTTTGAGTGATAATTAAATATTAATAAGAATATTTGGTCCCACTTTATATTGTCTCTAATAACTATGTAGTTACATGTGAACAACATATGCAACAACAATGTAACTACTAATGACGTAGTCACTGTTACAGATGGATTACAGAAGGACACTTTATGTAATTAAGCATGTGTATCAACTTGTTTTGCCTCATGTAATTACACAAGTGTATCTTAATAGTTGTAACAGCCTATTCTCTCTTATGTAATTACACAAGGGTTATAATATAAATGTAATTACATTTGTAATCAGATTTGAACAGCATTTATTTCATTTTCCAGCAGTAAAATGAAGTATGTAATAACTTACATTAAGACATTACTTACACTGTATCTGCCAGCTTCCATAACATTTAGCTAGCATTTATGTTGCTAGTGCTGTGACACTGTAACCAGTTTCAGCTTTAAACCATTCTGTAATGTGACAGAACAGCAGACGCCCCCTTATATTAACATGTCACTTTTATGACATGAATTAAATGTGTTGCATTACCTCAAAAGCAAATGTCTATATTACCACTCCATTATTACACAGTAACTACATAACAACTACACAGGAACTGTCCACTTAATTTAAAGTTTGAAGTTGTTATAAAGGTACGGTGGGTTTACAGAATGGTATTAATCAATGTGATGTGATTAGGTCACCTTGTTACAACAGAGTTATTCCACAGTAATTATGTAAACATAAATGTAATGCAATGTAAAACATACTTCCTTTAACTGCTGGAGAAGACTTCTGATCTGTAGTGTATCCGAAAGATACATTTGTGTAATTACATGAGGCAAAACTGTAATCCATCTGTAACATTGACTAAATAATCAGTAGTGTTGTTACATATGTTATTCATGTGTAACTACACAGTTATAAGAGACACTAATATAAAGTGGGACCGAATATTTTAATAAGGACTTTTTTAAATGATCGTTTGTCATTGACCCACACCACCCGTACCCTCTCTTCTCTCTGTATGGTAGAAGCACAGGTTATGTTTGCGTTTGAATGCCCATATGCTTGTGTTTGGATGAGTGTTGCGCTTCGTTTGTCGATTTGAGTTTGCGGCGGCTTCCTGAGCCTCTCTGTTGTGAGAAGCTGTGTTTGTTCATGTACGAGACCTTGACGTTCTCTCTCCGTCCTTGTTGGTTTACATCTGTTTGTGTTTACGTGTTTATTTGTGTGCATTTATGTATACAGTTGTTTTTTTTCTCCACCCAGGCGCCAGGCTGTATGTGGTTTGGCTTAAATGCAGTTCAGCCCCAACTGTGATTCAGTGCTTGGCCGTTCAGTTCGAGAGCAGTGTTGTAAAACAGTTCAGCTCAGTTTGATTTCATAAACTGTAATTTAGCTCAGTAAGTGCTCTCAGCGCACGGTGAAGATGCCTTGAAATGTCATTGGCTAAAAAAAGCATATAGCTGCAGTAAAAAATAGATTTCGCTTAGCAAGTAATGTAGCGCTGTTGTGCAAAGCCGCTCACTCGTCTGCTCTTAACAAGGACAAAGAGCTGTTGAGGCCAATGATTTTCCAACGTTTTTGCATAAATTGATCCTTGAGAGGTAAACAAAAGTGTTCAGAGTGGTTTGATGTGCACTGACCATATAGATGCACTTTGTAGTTCTACAGTTACAGACTGTAGTCCATCTGCTTCTCTGCATACTGTGTTACCCTGTTCTTGAATGGTCAGGACCCCTACAGAACAGGTACTATTTGGGTGGTGGATCATTCTCAGCACTGCAGTAACACTGACGTGGTGGTGTTGTGTTAGTGTGTGTTGCGCTGGTGCGAGTGGATCAGACACAGCAGTGCTGCTGGAGTTTTTAAACACCTCAGTGTCACTGCTGGACTGAGAACCAAAAACATCCAGCCAACAGCGTCCTGTGGGCAGCGTCCTGTGACCACTGATGAAGGACTAGAGGATGACCAACACAAACTGTGCAGCAGCAGATGAGCTATCGCCTCTGGCTTTACATCTGCATGGTGGACCAACAAGGTAGAAGTGTCTAATAGAGTGGACAGTGAGTGGACACAGTATTTAAAAACTCCAGCAGCACTGCTGTGTCTGATCCACTCGTACCAGCGCAACACAAATCTGTGTAGCCTGATTGGTTATTTTTCACACGATTGATGCCACAAATGTCACAAGAGAACAAAACAAACCAGAGGAGTCCACCCCCATCATAAGACCATCCCTGATTGGTCAGATCTCGTCCCTGATTGGTCCAAGAGCTGTTTACAGTCTGAAATCCTGATCTTGCCCAGCCCTGGACAAGGTTAAGCTTGACATTATAACAATAGAGGAACCCTTTTTGGTGCTATATAGAACCCATTTCAAATAGGTTCTATGTAGAACCATCTACAGCACATTCTTAAAGCCCTTTCATGATGCAAAGAACCCTTTAATCATGCAAAGCATTGTTTTAAGTGTTCATGGTTCTATACAGAACCATTTTCTATACAAAAGAACCCTTGAAGAACCATCTTTTTTGGTTGATCTACTGTCATGAGACCCCTGACCTTAATCAGCTCACAAGCCCCTCCTAGTGTTACCACTCTTTTTACATTTACAGTGTTTTCAAAAGGGGTCACTAAAGCAATAAGCCACGAGAGGCTGTGGGTTACTGTGATTTTACCACGGGGAAGGGTGTTGTTAGGCATGACATGAAGCCACTTCCTGGGATAAAATCACTGTAACGCACAGCCTAAAGTGGCTTATTGCTTTTATAAAACGGCAGCCAACATGAAATATAATTAAATACACACTTTTTCAAGTTTGGTAAGTTAAATTTAAGTATGGTATTGTTGCTAAGCAACCATGGACCGCTGAATAAAGAGAACATTCCGTTGCCCATCGCTATATATTGCGGTCATTTCATGAATTTTTTTACTTTTGGTCAAATAACAATGAACATATGATAACACAGCACTGTTTAATGCAAAACATTTCGCTTTATAAGTACCTTTTGGTCACCAAATTACCACCGAGAGTCTAATTTAACACCAATCCAGCAGCGCCTTCTTCTCACGCTGGGGCTGAATCTCAAACGGCTCCCTGCTCCCTACATAGTGCACTACATAGGAGTTTAAATACTGGATCCTGCAGCCCAACAGAGCAAAATACAGCTAAGAAACAGTCATTTGGGTCTGAGACACATCCACACTCGATAAATGATGCACTGTTTGACTGGAGAGGCTATAATTTCTAAACTTTCATAGCTAGCACACTATATAGGGAGTACAGAGCCGTTTGGGATTCAGCCTAGGTTTGATGGTACAACTGACTGAAACATGAACATTTGAAGCGTGTAAAACATTCAAGTAACTTTGTATATTGCCGTTTTACAGTGAATCATATCGTAAGTACTTTAATTCAAGCCTGTGATATTAATGATGGAGTTGTTTAGGCTGTTTGCTCTCTTTTAGCCTGTTAGCTCGCTGACCAGCCTGGTTCTAGTTAAGAACATAAGTTGTCAGCCCCTCAGTTTAAACAAAGAAACAGGTTCTTACTTCATCTGTACACTCGGTGCTCCATGCGAGCAGCACGAACGTCAAAGATTGTTCCAGTAGTAATACACATTTCAGTCGTTGTGAAGTGAAGTGGTCACAGGTGTGCGTATATTGTGGATTTTACAACAGCTTCGAACGCGGCTCAGCCAATCAGATTTTAGGACTGGAACCATCCGTTTAATAAAAATACTTATAACCTCCTCACCCAGTGGGCCATTTTCCTCATCCTTCCTCTACAGAACTCCCGCTACCAGACGTACCAGCGCATGTGGAACTACATGTACTCCAAGCAGCCCAGCGTATTCGTGAAGAGCACGGAGGAGGGCATCGCCCGCGTTCTCAACTCCAAATACGCCTTCCTGCTGGAGAGCACCATGAACGAGTACCACCGCAGCCTCAACTGCAACCTCACCCAGATAGGGGGCCTGCTGGACACCAAGGGCTACGGCATCGGCATGCCTCTCGGTAAGAGGGGAGAGAACTGAAGATGCACAGTACACACATGCTGAGGTATTTGATATGGAGGGTTAAAGACAATAGGGCCAGAGGAAACGTGGCGGCAGGAAAGGTTTGAAATCACTGGTCAGAACAGAGTATAAAAGGCACAGTAGAGAAAACATCCTGTTTAATTCTAAGGAATTAGGACTGAAAAATGGTCATATAAAAATGGATTATGACCATATTTGGTACATACAACCATACAGATGTTATAGATGGTCCTGAGGAAAAAAATAAAATGCAAGAAAAATGTAGGAAATGGGCCGTTTATGAGTGATTCCAAACTTTTGAACAGTGGAATATGAGAAAAAGAGGCCAGGCAAAGAATAGAGGAGAAGGAGATGGAAAACAAGACAAGGAAAACATGTATTACTGTCTCACATCTTTTGTTTCTTTCTTTCTTTCTTCCTCTCGCTCTTGCAGGCTCTCCGTTTAGGGACGAGATCAGTCTGGCTGTTCTGCAGCTGCAGGAGAGTAACAGGCTGGAGATTCTGAAGCGGAGGTGGTGGGAAGGCGGCCAGTGCCCTAAAGAGGAGGACCACAGAGCCAAAGGCAAGAATCCTCCATCCACAGCTAACAGTTTCATGTATACAGACTGTGTCAGTGTGCCTGTAATAGAGATACCAGAGATACACCGATCAGGCATAACGTTATGACCACCTCCTTGTTTCTACACTCATTGTCCATTTTATCAGCTCCACTTACTATATAGGTGCACTTTGTAGTTCTACAGTTACAGACTGTAGTCCATCTGTTTCTCTGCATACTTTGTTAGCCCCCTTTTACCCTGTTCTTCAGTGGTCAGGACCCCCATGGACCCTCACAGAGCAGGTACTATTTGGGTGGTGGATCATTCCCAGCACTGCAGTAACACTGACGTGGTGGTGGTGTGTTAGTGTGTGCTGTGCTGGTCTGAGTGGATCAGACACAGCAGTGCTGCTGGAGTTTTTAAACACTGTGTCCACTCACTGTCCACTCTGTTACACACTCCTACCTTGTCAGTCCACCTCGTAGATGTAAAGTCAGAGACGATAGCTCATCTGCTGCTGCACAGTTTGTGTTGGTCATCCTCTAGTCCTTCATCAGTGGTCACAGGACGCTGCCCACAGGACGCTGTTGGCTGGATATTTTTGGTTGGTGGACTATTCTCAGTCCAGCAGTGACACTGAGGTGTTTAAAAACTCCAGCAGCACTGCTGTGGCTGATCCACTCAGACCAGCACAACACACACTAACACACCACCACCACGTCAGTGTTACTGCAGTGCTGAGAATGATCCACCACCCAAACAGTACCTGCTCTGTGAGGGTCCATGGGGGTCCAGACCACTGAAGAACAGGGTAAAAGGGGGCTAACAAAGTATGCAGAGAAACAGATGGACTACAGTCTGTAACTGTAGAACTACAAAGTGCACCTATATAGTAAGTGGAGCTGATAAAATGGACAATGAGTGTAGAAACAAGGAGGTGGTCATGACGTTATGCCTGATCGGTGTGTATGTATATTAGGGCTGGGATTATTAGTAGATCATTAACAGTGCTGATTGTAGAGATTACAAGCATCAGCCACACAAGCATCAGAGTGCACTGCAGAAACGTACATATTTTGTATGGCGAAAGCTTCTTGAAGTATCTTGATATTACATTTTTGCCCGTTTCTAGGTAGAAAAGTGGTCTGGAGAACATCCCTGGTGTGTGTGAGCTTTTCCGTGTATGATTAATGCTGTGTGTGTGTTTCAGGTCTGGGAATGGAAAATATCGGGGGGATATTTGTGGTATTGATCTGTGGTTTGATCATCGCCGTGTTTGTGGCAGTGATGGAGTTCGTGTGGTCCACTCGGCGCACCGCTGAAACAGATGAGGTACGTAAATCTCTCCCACACAGCTACAGCCTCCCCCCACTGTGTGTAGTGTATCTGCTAAAGACTGATAGAATGTGTGTTGTAATGCATATTAATGGTAATGAAGTAAGTCTTCACTGAGTAAGACTTAAGAAATTAAGCATTATGATAATTAAGCTAATCTAATTTACACAATTTTTTTTTCACATCGATCAAAGCAACATCATATTGTCGACGGGGTATTATAAGGTTCTATCTGTGTTCTGAGCGCTTTTCAGATATTGAGCTTCAAAGATTTTGCATTCCAAGTAGCAAAACTGACATGTGGAACACGTTTCTTTAATACATGAAAATGACAGACACCCTAAATTATTCCAAACTATCAAAAATACCAAATTTGCAAATGGGTTTTTGGAACAGGTCAAATGCAGACAGAACCTTCTAATCCTAAGAACTCACTTTCTGATTGGAGTTATAAGGTTCTTTCTGGCAAAACACAAAAAAAGCAATGATTTTTGAGAAACACAAACAGTTTATACTCATGATTTGTTTTAAAACATAAGGTTAGTGTTGTGACAGGGTGTCTATATATATCAGAGTTACATTCAGTGTTCTATGGCATTTTTATGACATTTATTTTTATTATTTATTTATTTTTTTTATGATATTTCTTGTTTTAGGACAAATCATCTTTTTCTTATTAAAAAAAAAAACATTCTGTCCAGTGCAGAGGTCAGTTTTAGGTAGGAACCATTAGTTTAAGTGTGCTTTAGGTCAGACAGAAACGGCTACTGTAATAAACTGTCCCAGTGAGTCAGTGTAGCAGGTCAGTCTAAAGGCCGTGTGAGGTTTAGTTTTATATCAGAAATGTGACTCTAATGAGCCAAAATGTCTCATATTGGGAGAAAGAAGAAAAAGAAAAGATGGATGAATGAATAAAAGTATTGTTTATGTTGTAATTAAGAGCCCATCAACTCAAATGTTTACTATTTAATCACCTTTAAGGCTTAATATTAATAAAATTTAAGACAATGAAGACTTTTTAAAGAGCTGTAAGAAGACAGGCGAGTTTCAGTGTAGTGTGGTGACATGACAAAGAAGCAGAACCTGATTGGTCCTCTTGTGTGTTTTCGATATGCTGATTGGCTCGCAGACAGAACCTTATAGAACTTAGAACTGAGTTTTACTTTGGAGACAGAACCTGTTTGTTTTCTAGATAAAGAGCCCAAAAATGCACACAACTTCAAAAACACCTCACGTAATGTTGAGAAGTCGTCATAGAATAAGAATATGTAAATTCTCAAAACTCAATTTTGACAAAATTTACAATTTATAATTAGCAAAGCTCTCTGCACCAGCCACAAGCATCAGAGTGCACTGCTAAGCAACACATGCTGTGGAGAAGGAAGGAGCTGTATGAGCTTTACTGTAATGTTCATATTGTATTTATATATTTGTGATATATTAACTTAAACTAGAAAAGCGAGTGATTGTGCAGCTTAAACAGTTGGGAGCTGCCAAATGATTACTATGGTATTCTCCGTGGTTGCTATTGTGTTGATAGCCATTTGTTATGGTTTCCCAGTTGGTTCCTAGGTGGTTGCTATGGTATCCCAAGTGGTTGCTAGGGTGTTGCTAGGCGGTTGCTATGATATCCCTGATGGCTGCTAGATGGATGCCATGGTATCCCACTGAGTTATTAGGGTGTTGCTGATAGACTTGACCCATCGTGATATAAGCCGAGCGCACTCCATTCATTTCTATGGGGTAAAAAAATGGTTATTTAACAAAGATAGTATGGAAACTGTGAGTCAGGTCAAAAAGCGGTATGCAAGCACGCTATTCCCGACGAGACCGAACATTCCGGAGTTGGAATGGACAAGTTAGCGGACAAAAATCTGGCAGAAAAGTAAGAAGACGAGTCATAGGATAACAATAGTCCAAAGCAATGTCCAGTCAGTAATGAAACAGTTTACAGGGAAATTGCTGGAGTGCTGGAAGTTTCAGGTAGTAATATAAACGTTTTTTTGGGGATGAGCAGGGATGCGCTGATATGGGAACTATTGGCCGATGGCCATAATGATATCTAATATTTTTCATGCACATTTCTGCTGATAACGATGCTGATACTTTAAAATGTAGACGCTGGAATTAGATCTACCTGGATTAGCATTACAGAGAAATCTAATATATATATTTCAAATGCAGTAAAATTAATAAAATGCATATATTTTAGCGCTGTAACACAGCATCACCTCAACGTCCTGTGTTCCTGTAGTACAACAAACACATCATGAAATATCGGTTTGAAATATCGGTCAGATCTAAACATCTGTCCAATGCAGATATTGTTTGTAAAGTAATTATCTGCCAATATTGATATGATTCCAATATCGTTTTGCATCATTTAACTCTGCAAGTCACTAAGCTTCGTTAATCTTCCCGTGTTCTCCCAGGTGTCTGTGTGTCAGGAGATGCTGACCGAGTTCCGGAATGCTGTGTCCTGTAAGAAGAGTTCCCGTCTGCGTCGGCGGCGGCCCCTCTCCAGCTCTTTGGCCCTGCGCCACCCTGCTCGTGTCGCCCTGGGGGCCCCGCGACCCCTGCGGCTGGTCAGGGAGATGCGCCTCAGTAACGGTAAACTCTACAGCGGGGCGGGGCCTTTAACGGGAGGAGCCTCTGGAGCCGGGGCAGGTCCCTCCGAGCTGGGCCCTGGACCCCAGCGTCTGCTAGAGGACCCTCTGGGGGCCAGCAGCACGCCCACTGTGCCGCTGGGCCCCCCCGCAGTCACTGTGCCCCTCCCGCGGGGCTGCACCCACGTGCGCATCTGCCAGGAGTGCCGGCGCATCCAGAGCCTCCGGACAACTTCGTGCCCCCGCGTCCCGCCCTCCTCTGCGCCCCTCCCCCGCCTGGCCCCGCCTCCGCCGCACTCCTCCTCCAACACAGATAGCGAGGGGGGCGGCAGCCACAGCCCACGGAGGATAGGCCACTCCCCTCCGCCAAGAGGCGGAACCAGTACAGACCTGCTGGGAGAGCAGGACTGAAAGCGTGGGAGGAAGGGAGGGAGGAAAGCACGGACTGGGGGCTGTGAGGTGGGGTTAAAGCCCTGATTCAGAGGCTCCAGGACAGGCCGGGGATTCTAGATGCCATTTTTAACCGATATTGTTATGTTTTACTGTGGTTTACAACGGAAGATTTTCTCAGGGGGCCAAGGATTTGTCACCCTGCCCCCTTTTTGGGGCAGTGATGGTTCTCGCGGCTCAGGATGACAGAATGTAGAGGGACGAGTCTGAATGTTTTCCTAGCTTCACAGCCCTCCTCATCTTCTGCTACTTTAGTCATGTTTTTGCCGTTTTGGACTTCTGGAAACACTTTAAACGGTAGACGGAAGAAGCAAACTTGGAATTTGGGAGGGCATGGGAAGCCAAATAGTAGCACAGAGATGCTGGACAACCCACTGGACTCTGACCTTTAGCCCCCTGGCACAAAGTCTCCCTCTAAACTGGATTTTCCGGCTCCTCCCACATGAGAGCACACCTTCGATAGAGAGACGTTTAAACTATGTGAAATGTACTACAATCTAAAAAAATGAAGGGACACACCTCTTAAAGACATTCTCACCTTTTTCTGTACTATGTTTATTATTATTATTATTATTATTACCATAATTATTTTTATTTACTGTGTGTTGTTTGATTCCCCAGGCTAACTTTGGCCTGGCTAAAATTAAGAAAAACAGACGTACACTATTAATACTGGGCAGATATTAAGACTGAGCGATTGTATGTCAGGTCCTGAATACACTTAAGAAACATGAGAAAGTGTTAAAAATGGTGCACGGCAAAGTGATGTTGTTTAGCACGCCACATCCAGTAGACTTCAGCACCCGAACGATGAAAATCTTATCACCGATACCGATTTTAAGGAGCTAAAATTTATACTAACTGATAATAATTGCAAATGGTCAAAAATGAACCTCCAGTAGTTTTAGATAAACAGTGCTTGACTGACATGATTGTCAGTTGTCAGAATTGTCAAATATGATGTCAGATTTCTTAAACACAACTGAATGATTCCTTTTTCATTAGGGTTTCTGTCTGTTACAGTTTAAAACAAGCTGTGGGTGCTTTTTTGGTAGGATTTTGTGCTGGTAGGATCTTAATATCAGCCGATTTTATCAGGCAAGTGAAACATCGGTTGACCCCTTGTAGATTTGTCACCGCTTCTGTTAGAGGTTCCACTAGCTCGATTATTCAGGGACCCTAGAACACAAATCTGGCAGATTTTACCAAACATGTTGTACCAATCAATGTAAGGTTAAGAACACTGGTATATTTGCTTCCTCCTTTGTTTGTTAGTCTTCCTTTTGACTTGTTTGTATTTCATTACATTCATTTCATTTTGATTTTTTATTATTCTTCTTGTTATAAGTGCAACAGTCGTGAATTTTAAGGCTGATTCCGATTCTGAATTCTCTACAGCGTAATTCGCCGATGGCCGAATTCCTGGCCAATTTTTTATTAGCCTTTATTTTTATTCAAAGCTCACACATAAAACACACTCACACATTTCCCACACTTTCTCTTGACCAAAGTCACAATATAAATAACGTTGGCTCTTGAAACTGGCATTTTAAATTCTTAAACAGAGCCTGTTTAAGGCTGCACTATGTAATATTTGGGGATTTGGAGACCTCTCTGGTGGAAATGTGTAACTGCATGTAACATGTGGAAGAAGCTGTAGCATGGGTTGTGCTTCGGACCCCTTCGCCAAGCGGGTGAATCAGACAAGTCAAAACTTGGTGAAAGATGCGTCTCCTGAGGATGTGAGTGAATTATCTAGTATTGTCATCGTATACTCATTGTGTTGATTTTGAGACTATTTGAGGCCTAAACATCGAGCTGGACCTTCTTTTTGAGTCTGACGTTAATATGTAAAGATGGATTATGGTGTGAAAAACCTGAATCCTCTGACTTTTAAATGATTATTTTAGGCTTTACAGGGCGACTCACAGCAGCGCATTCCAACCATATTTTAGACTTTTTTCATCCTCCTGACTAAGTAATGATACTCCTTTACGTTTTTTTTACATAGTGCAGCTTAAAATAGCATGAACCAAATAAAACATGGATGTGCAAGAGTATCCAAAGTGCTGTAACAGTGCAGGAACAATAAACCAGTTGACGAACTCATACTAGGAGTAAACAGGAATGTCAAAATTTGGTAGCCAAATAAATTGGACATTGATATTTTTTGGAGCGATGGAGGCTGAACATCTCAGTGTTGACATCCAGATGCTCCCAGGGTTATACAACAAAATAAAAAGAGTGGTATTCCTTTTTTTTTATTTATTTATTTTTTTACCCAGTAAACTCCCAAATTTAGTCATGCCAATTTCACCAGGATCGTAGGTCACCCCAAATTTTTCAACCTAAATGACCAATAAACACTGCTGAAGCTCTGATAATCATCCATTTTCACCTGTAGTGCCAGCAATGCTGTCAGTAGGATTTCGACAGTTACGCTCCACCACGACCGTCAACATCAGAATATCATTTGTTTCAACTGTGACATTTAGATGCAGCAAGTGAACTTACAGTTGTATGCAAAAGTCTGCGCACCCTAGTCAAGTGGCAACGTTACAGCACATTTTATGTTTTAATCTTTTTCCCAATATGGTAAAGTCAGTAAAAGAAATAGAAATTGTGCACTAAGATTTGCAGAAAAAAAAAAATGTTGCCTGTAGTTAACAAGTTAACTTATTGTCACAAATTTGATTGGCGGTGTTCAAACTTCTGTATACGACTGTACCTGACTGACCTTATTTACCTAGTGATGCTACAACATAGATCGGCCCAAAAAAAAAGTATAGGCTGTCCGATTGCTGATCGCTTTCTTGGAACAAAAAGCATCTGATACCAGACATTTTAAGCCCATAGTAGCATTTTAAACATTCACTTAAACAGAATGGTAGCCTGAAGCACTGTGTCAGTCTATATCCCATGTGTCAAACACAAGTCAGGCCCGTAGCGCGATCCTGTCCGGCTCACTAGACTATTTTCATTTTCTATTAATATTAGCCCATTTCAGTGTGCTGCACTACATTCCCCAACATGCACTGCAATGTGAAGTGCACTGCAACGCCCCTCCCCCCACAGCAGTCTATGGGGCAGCAGTTACACCTCAATCCTACCACACCAGTCACATCACCAGACACACTAGCTGTGTTTCAGCAGCAGTTCAACCAATATGAAGACTTAGCTAGCTAATCAACACACAGTTCGCTAAAAGTGAGAAGTGGACAGTGAATGCTGGAGATTTTAAGACGGGCGGAGCTCGAGTACCTTTTTACTTCCAACATCTGTCTCGTTTGCAGAGATGGTGTGGCTGTAATGAAGGAATACACATCAAGTACCATTATGAAACAAAACACCGGAGGGTTGGACAGACAGCAGCGGCATCAGGAAAGTGGCGGACATGAAGAAGGTCGTTCTCTGGCCCACAGATTTGTTGAGATTTTTTAATATGGCCGTTTTAGCGGTCACTGGTCTATATGGTCACTGTTTTAATTATAGCCCGTGATGTTGCAGAGTGCTGAAAGGCTGCTTGGAGCCTTCAAGTGAAGGTCTCAACATCATTGAATGTGTTTTGATTACTTGGATGGTGAGAAGCAGAAACTTCAACCAACTTCTAAGACTGAACTTTGGAGGTGTGGAAAATGTTCCTGTGGGTTCAGAATGAAGTGTAGTAGACTATCACCTTCAACTAGAGATGGGCAACTTCTGCCTTGGAGGGCAGGATGGCCGCACACTCCTGAGCAGTTAGTTATCAGGTCCAGTTGATGTGGTAGAGCAGGGAAATGACCAAACCGTGCTGGACATTGTCCCTCAGCTTCCCAGCCCTACTTTAAACTTTCCACAGTATTACTGTGCATATCTATTTTATTGAAAACACAAAGGAGATTTTCTTGAGAAATCAGTGTCCATTCACTCACTTCCTGTGAGCTTAGTGTATCCAGGCCTTACCTGAGAACAGCTGCTATACTACTGAAGATCCGAACAATGACCTGCATAGAGACCCTGCTGCCTCTAGAGGGTGCTGTCCCAAACAACAAAACCTGAAGACACAGCTGTGGTGATATTACATCCACACACAGACACTAACAAGCGTGATAAATATTGATCATATTTATTTTCCCCATCTTAATATCTTAAGTTGGACGTGTATAAGAAATAAAGGCAGGAAATTAAAACTATCCTACATTCCTGAAGAGGTCAAAGGGGAATCGAACCATTTTTTGTTTGTTTTAATTTTTTTTTCCTCTTTCTTCTTTCTTTTCTTCCCAGTTTCTAAACTAGTGTGTGATGGGTTATCAAAATGATGGTCATGAATATTAATATGATTCTATTGTTGTTATTATAAGTATTCCTACTAAAGCGCAGGAGTCATTTGGGGGGGTGTTTGAGGGGTCATGGGTTAAAGAAAGGGATGAGTGACCACTACTGAGTGACCACCTGATGTTAAAGCTATTTCTTTGGAATAAAGAACACATCAATCTGTCTTTAATGAGACCGGCTTTCATTATCTTCTCTGTTTGAAAATGATTTTAGGATTGATTTTGTGATTTTACATCAACAAAGTTGCGAGCAAAGGTGTCTTTCTCTGAAGAAGTTTCTTCAAAATTCAATTTTTTCAAAATTCAATTTCTTCAAAATTCAATTTCTTCAAAATTCAGGCATAACATTATGACCACCTCCTTGTTTCTACACTCATTGTCCATTTTATCAGCTCCACTTACTATATAGGTGCACTTTGTAGTTCTACAGTTACAGACTGTAGTCCATCTGTTTCTCTGTGTACTTTGTTACCCTGTTCTTTAGTGGTCAGGACCCCCATGGACCCTCACAGAGCAGGTTCTATTTGGGTGGTGGATCATTCTCAGCACTGCAGTAACACTGATGTGGTGGTGGTGTGTTAGTGTGTGTTGTGCTGGTCTGAGTGGATCAGACACAGCAGTGCTGCTGGAGTTTTTAAACACTGTGTCATATATATATATATAAGCAGTGTGGATCTGTATTCTGGCCCACAGTAAGCTCAAGTATCAAATCCTTAAAAAATGACTGCACAAAAAATGTTCAGCCTAATTTGCTTTGTGGTGACAAGAACATTCATAAATTTATTTTTTACAGCTTTGCATATTTTCTTATTTTATTTACATGTATTAATTAATAGTTACACCAAAACATTCTTAATGAATATAAGTGGTAAAACTCCCCTCTAACCAGCTACAACCCTTCTCTTATACAGTGTTTTACAGTGTGCTGAGAACTAAAGCAGCTCCTCCTGAACTTTCACACTCACAGCTGGTGCAGTCTCCACTCCTGCTGGTGTAACTGTCACATTTAGAGGAATAATCATAAAAATATGCAGATTTTGTGTTCATATAGCAGTTTCAGATCAGTTTGAACTCACACTGATTAAACATTTTAATATTCTTAAATAATCCTGTGTAAATCATCTCCAGAATGACTGTGAGTGAGTTAGCAGAAAGTTACTGTTCAAAGGCTGACGTTGGTTTCCTATTCACCAGCTTCTTGTTCCAATTTTCCCGTTCCACCTTAAACGCTGTAGCAGTTACACTCTGGCGCCTGAGGCGTTTAAGGTGGAACGGCAGAATTCGAACAAGAAGCTGGCGAATAAGAAGCTGACCTCAGCTTCATGAATTTTGTTCATGACTGTGTCAGGTGGGCGCTGAAGGGGCGGAGTATGAGTGTGTCAGTGCAGGTCACACCGGCAGATGAACTCACAGTTCGGATCTGACCGCGCATGCTGAGGAGACTGTCCGTCCATCAGTGGTGATGGCTGCGCGCGCTCTGAGCTGCACTCTGACTCTGTTGGTGTGTTCAGGTAAGAGTTCCTCTCACTTTCTGCTCTCAACGCTTCAGTTCTGGATGGAAAACGTGCCCAAGTTTCGTTTGCATTATGAATGATTGAGTTCAGTGTGCAGTTTAGGACTGCAGTGCAGTGCAATAATAATAATAATAATAATAATAACAACAACAACAACAACAACAACAACAATAATAATTATTATTATTGTTATTATTGTGACGATGATTATTATTATTAGCAACTACAGTGGTAGGGTGCCCAAACTTTTTCACATACCACAGAGCTACTTATTTTTTAGGTTACTCAAACATAAAGTAACCGTGCATTAACATTTACAGAAAAAATGTTTACTTCTTTTGGCAAAATCAACAGAGCATGTTTTTTTGACCGGGGCGCCCACACTTTTGCACACGACTCTAATTGTGTCCTTCCTTAATGCTGTTGTGTTCTCGTCTTTTGTTTGCTTCCCAAATGCTGTGGTGTTTTGACTCTGTGGGCCAGAGATTGAATCTTTTTCTGAATAAAGTTGTCATTTTGGTATCACAGTGTAATAACAGGCCCCCACACTGTAACAAAGACGTATATTCTAAAATTAAGTAAACTGTCTGCCTAAAAATTTCAAGTTCAAAGAGTTCAAGAGTTCTTTGTTATCATTGTTAATAAGTCACTAAGGCACAGACTCTGATGGTCTTGGTTATGGGCGCAGCAGTTTTAATCCGTTGCTTATACAGGGGATACAAAAACAGTGAGAAGTGGTCAGACAGTCCTAGGTGGGAGTCATACTGTATATACAGATTATCATAAAATGGATAGTTCTGGTCCTAAAATCTGATTGGCTGAGGTTCAAAGCCATTGTAAAATTGTGTATCACTGCGCCAAAGCACGAAAAAAACCCTTGTGCTGTTAATGAAATAATCTTTGACTCTAATGCTGCTCGCATGGACCACCGAGTGTACGGATGAAGTAAGAACCTGTTTTTTTGTTTAAACTGAGGGGCTGACAACTTATGTTCTTACCTGAAACCAGGCTGGTCAGCAAGCTAACAGGCTAAAAGATAGCAAACATGCTAAACAACCACAACATTAATATCACAGGCTTGAATTAAAGTACTTACGATATGATTCACTGAAAAACGGCAGAATCTAAAGTCTAAAAAATGCCGCTTGAATATTTTACACACTTCAAATGTTCGTTTCAGTCAGAAGTCTCGTCAAACCCAGACTGAATCCCAAACAGCTCTGTACTCCCTAAACAGTGTTCCAGCTATGAAAGTTTAGAAATTCCAGCCTCTACAGCCAAACAGTGCATCATTTATGGAGTGTGGATGTGTCTGAGTCCCAACTGACTGTTTCTTAGCTGTATTATTCACCGTTGGGCTGCAGGATCCAGTACAAAATTCCAAGTGCACTATGTAGGGAGCAGAGAGACATTTGAGATTCAGCCCCAGCACAAGAAGAGGGGCATTAGCTTGGTGCTAAATAAGACTCTCGGTGGTAATTTGGTGACCAATAAGTACTTATAAAGCGAAGGTTTTTGCATTAAACAGTGCTGTGTTATTATATGTTCATTATTATACGACAAAAAGTTAAAAAGTTCATGAAATGACCGCAACATACAGCAATGGGCGACTGAACGTTCTTCTCCTCGTTCAGCGGTCCATGGTTCCTTAGCAATGACACAGTGCACTAAAGGAACTACATTTCTTGGCGGAGTACTTGTTGATGTTGATTATTATTAATAATAACTTAATTTGTTTTCTGAATAAGTGTGTATTTAATCATTTTTCACGTTGGCCACCGTTTTACAAAAGCAATAAGCCACTTGAGGCTGTGCGATACTGCGATTTTATCACTTATTGCTTTAGTATACGCGTTCACAAGTTCATTAAACTTCTAACGGAAAGTTAACAGTCTAATAATTTTATGTTACATTCTATGAACTCATTTTAAATCCAATAAAAGTAACATTTTAATCTTGTAGAATCTTGTATAAAAAACAGCTTAATCGTTATCTAATAGATTTGAAATGACTTTTAATAGTTATATTATTGTTACTTATGCACTAATTAGCACTACTATTTCAATTATACAAGTAATCAATAATCATTTTCAATTGTAGAAATCAAATTTTTAGTTAAGATTGTCAATGATTTGGTTATTTGATACAAATAATTCAAAAATTCATAACGTGAAATATTATGTATTTACTTAAGTTGCATTAAACCATTTCATAATAATGATGAATATATGATCTACATGCTGTTTTAAATTATTATGTAGTTGTTTATTGTCTTCACTATGTAACTACTTTGTGATGCATGAACTTTTTCTTAATATAATATGTAATATAGAATAATATGTCATTTTTTAAAACATTAATCATCTTTCTCTGGGCTCCCCGTTATAAAGTTGCAGTTTTATAACATACTTAAAAAGATATGTCTTATTACTTATTACACATAAATATAATGCATTGATGAAAAACATTGTCAGTGCTTTATTTATTCATATGCCATTCAGGAAATGCTTAGGAATTCAATTGTTAGTGTTTATTAATGCACAAGTAACAATTATACAGTTATTAACCATCATTAACGAGTTAGTTGCTATTTAGGGGTCTGTTATTATAAAGGGTTACCTTTGTTTTCTGTGCTGTACACAGGCTTATTTAACATGTTTATTTCTTCACACAGGAGTGTGTCTGAGTCAGGATCTGGTGTTACCTGCCAGGCTGATTGGAGCAGTTGGAGGGAACGTGACGTTTGACCCAGTCAGTCTTCCTCCTCCACCATACAATCTGGTCAGTTGGAGTTCAAAAGAGATGGTCATTATTACTGCACTTGGTGATGCAGTGTCGGTAGTGCCTGCATACAGAGGCAGAGTCAGTCTGGACATTAACACTGTGGCTCTGGAGCTCAGGACTCTGCGTATGGACGATGCTGGAGCGTATACTCTGAGTATAAACGGAGAAACAGATACCTACACAGCGGAAACTACACTGGATGTGTTTGGTGAGTAAACAAAAACGTCAGGATTTAGTCTTTTCATCTTTTAATGCTCTCATTTTCACAGTCTTTACTGTTACAGTCCACTACCGTGGTCAGTTTTAAAGTGATTCCACGACAGGGGTGCCGTTTGTTTTACATATGTATGTAAAGTAAAGGTAAAAGACTTTTTAAACAAAGGCAAAGCATCCTTCACAATAACCTATATGCACATTTCAGTAAACTTTGAACATCAATAAAACCTACAGTAAATCCACCACACTTAGAAAACAGTCTCAGTCTGTCCCAGTACACTACAACGACACTTAACCCTTGAAACATAATCATCAAAATACTTAAAATCTTAATAGTTTTGCATTAAAGTGTGAATCCATATAACATCTTGTGCTGGAGACATTCTTTTTCATGCGTCCTCTATTACAGGTTATGAAAAATGTACATTTTTGTTTATACACCTGCAGTCAAATGACATGTTTATTGAATTTCTAAGTGTAAATAAATGAATACAATACATTCAGAAAACACACTTAAGTTTAAAACCTAAAACTGAAACATACTGGATAAAAAATAAAACATAACATTTATAATATGCCATAACTTTTACACCAGCCAAAATATGTTACTCTTGTTATATGTGAGTTGATGTATTCTTGCTGATTAAAGATCAGTTAGACACATTATTATTATTATTATTATTATTATTATTATTATTATTTGCTAGAATATAGAACTTTTTACCATTAATTCTATGGACTACACAGAAACTATAAAATGTAGAACCAGTTTCAATGCTGGTCATCCTATTAATAGGCTACATTATCACACAGTCCTGATGAAACCCTGCAGTTGCTGATTTGCAAACAGATTGTTTAATATGTTTATTTCGTCACACAGATGTAGATATTGGCCAGAGTCTGGTGTTGCCTGCCAGGCTGGATGGAGAGGTTGGAGAGAACATGGTGTTTAGGCCGACCAGACTTCCTTCTGATACATATGACGTGATCACCTGGAGGTTTGGTGGGGCAAGTGGAAGGATCGTTATTAGAGTAACTGATGGAACAGTTTCAACACCACGACCTGAATACAGTGACAGAGTCAGTCTGGACACAAACACTCTGGCTCTGGAGCTCAGGAATCTGACCATGGATGATGCTGGACTGTATGTTCTGATTATTGATGGAAATACAGCCTCCTACACAGCAGAAACTACACTGGAAGTCTTTGGTGAGTAAACAGAAATGTATCTCTGACAAGCTGAAGTTCCAAGTATTGACCAGTTGAATGTGAGGTACATTCTCAAATACGCTGTGCAGTTATCTTGGGTAAAATGAGAAGAACCAAGACAGTCTAACTAAACCGAACTAGTTATTAAGCTGATAGAAGACAAAAGAGTGTGTCGCGAAGGGCTCGCTAGTTCAGTAGTGTGGGTTCTGCCCAGGGAATTCACAGTCAGCGACACAACTCTCGGACTTCAAGAAGGCCCAGAGTGACCTTTATTCCTCACAAAACTGGTTCCACCTGCTTTAAATTAAAACACAATTGACTTTTTCCTCCATCACTTCCTCATCATGCTGATGATTAATCGAATGTGTTAGGGCTCGCTGAGCTATATCTACCTAGATACCACTGAGAAAAACTATTCCTGATTGGACAATTTTTGCTGGGCGTTTCAAGGGTTTAACCCTTTTGTTTCCATTCTAAACCTAACAATGAAACAGGAATAGTACTGTAATACCAGCACAGTTTAAATACAAGCATGATTTTATTGAATAAAAACTAACAAAAAATTACAGACATGCATTTTTTAGTTTCCAGAAATCATTAAAATGAGTAAAATCCACCCCAGTAAATGTGGTATAGTTGTTGTTTTTTTACAGTTCCACTACCCCAAAATTAGGACCTTACAGTCTGTTGCATGCACTCTCTCATACCTTTAACAACTTTACAGTAGTGATAACTCTCACTACAACATTAGAACTGAGATATTCAAGCAGATACTAGGAGAACCCAAAGGTGAAAATCATGCCATTATAGTCTATGTGCAGCTATATACATAGTCAATATTTTATGTATCACTCAAACTCTATTGTTGAAACCATTATTTTTGCTGCTGACCACTTCTCTCTGTCCTTTTTTTACAGAAAAAGTATCTGGAGCTGTCCTCATTGGTCCAACAGCTCCTGTAATAGAAGGCAACTCTGCCGATTTAACCTGTGATGCGAGCGGGACTATCATCACTACAGAATGGATGAAGGATAATCAGAAGCTGTCTCCTAGCAACAACATCATATTCTCAGCTGATAACAGATCAGTGTCGATCAAATCAGTGAGCAGAACAGACGATGGTGAATACCGGTGCACTCTCAGCAACCCTGTCAGCTCTGTTACTGCAGTGTTCACCATGACTGTTAACTGTAAGTACAAAACATCAGCCTGCTGTTCATTTAATCCACAGCTGCTCTGTAATCTGACAGATAACGGCTCTTCACTGTTACAGATGGACCTGATAATGTGAGAATTGATGGGCCCAGTGAAGTGGAGGAGGGAGGATCTGTGGAGTTCCGGTGCTCTGCTGATTCTGTACCAGAACCCAGATACACATGGACATTTGATGGAACAAATACTGGAGACACTACAGCCTCATTCACAGTGAAGCAGGTCAATTTCTCTAACAGTGGAATTTACACCTGCACCGCCCGGAATAACGTCACCGGACACGAAACCTCAGCATCCCATACTTTGGCAGTAAAAGGTAAAACTTTCCTCTGGAATGCTTTATTTCACCCCTTGATTATTGTAATGAGACCACTCTAAGAAAGACACTGATATGGAAAAGTCTTGTTCAGGACTCCAACGATGCTAAGATCATTGTTGTTAACAGAATATTCAAAATATCATAAGTTTAATAATTGCAAGACTCTCACCTAGAATATGCCTGGTTACGTCATGGACAAGCAAATTCAAGCAAACTTGAATTTCTTTCATGCAGTCATGCAAAACTATTTTTAGTTATAGTTATAGTTTAGTTATGGTTATTTAGTTACACATTTTTAAAGTTTGGAGAAAATAAAGCTCCACTCTTACAAATCTGATATTATATATCGCTGTTGTCGGAAGAAAACCTCATATTTCCAAAATGGTAACTTTACAGCAGAAGGAAAAAACATACTTTATTTCCAATGTAAGTCAATGGAACCAGAATTTTTTCCAAGTCATTTTAGGTCGTTTCTTTTACTCCATTCATCATGAAATTTACACACAATGTAAAGGGCAACAGACATTTTCAGATTATGTCAAAAACTGAAAAACGACAAAAATGGAGATTCTTCCGACAACAGCGATATACCATATATTATTTAGGTGTTTTTCAGCTGACACTAAAAAATAGAACTTAAATAAATGAAGGGTGGTCTCTTCATTTGGGCTCTTGCACAGTACTGTACTCCTACCGTACTGTGCTGAGTGAATAAGACGCAGCAAATAACCATTAAAATGTGATAGAAATGTGATTTGAAATTCTACACTTTGTGTATAATGACCAACCCCAAAATTGTCTTAAAGTAATTTCACCAAACAGTTGATTTTTGGCCAGTAGAGATACAATATTTTTTCTCTAAATCTACAAAGCTTTAAAATGAGCTATTTTTAATTGAAACAACTCACTCAATATGAGCATCTACCTGGGATTGGATCAGGTCCATATCTGTTTACTTTCCAAAATATCAGTGTTTTCCTACACTGTGAAAAATGCCTCGTCAGATCAATCTAAAATAATTACTTCATGTGGTAACAAGTAAATTAACCAGTTTTATTCAACCTAAAGCAAGAAGGGCCTGGGTTCGGTTCTCCGGCTGGGCGGCCAGGGTCCTTTCTGTGTGGAGTTTGAATGTTCCACAGTCCAAAGACATGCAGTCAGGCCAGTTGGACACTTAATTGCCCCTGTGTGAGTGTGTGAATATTTATGTCTGCCTATCTGCCCTGTGATGGACTGACGGCCTGTCCAGGGTGTTTCCTACCTTCTGCCCAATGACTGCTGGGATTGTGTGTGTGGGTGGGTGTGTGTGTGTGTGTATGTGTGTGTGTGTGTGTGTGTGTGTGTGTGTGTGTGTGTGTGTGTGTGTGTGTGCTTGTTACCACATTAAGTAATGTTTTAGGTTGATCTGATGAGCCATGTTTTAGTGTATAATCACACTCTGATCTGCTGGTTTCTCTGTGTTGTTTCAGAAAAGGGGAGTGTGAGTGGAGGTGGAGCGCCGCTCTCTGCAGGAGCTATAGCTGGGATTGTCATTGGAGTTTTATTGGGAGTCGCTCTAGTTGCTGGTTTGACTGTCTACTTTACAAAATGCGCAGGAAGGTAAGTAACTTTACCTTCACTTTATAATGTAAAGCACAGCAGTATCACTCATAGTCAACAAACACAATGGAGTTCACATTCATTGGTTCTCCATTAACTGTCACCATGTGTTAGATTTGGATCCTCGGTTGCTGGTTCAGTAGTAAAAAGCTATATTAGAAGAGTCAGTTACACAAAGTGCACAGCCTTTAAGGATAACAGCCTCCAAACGAAACACTTCTTCCCTGCTCCACCTTGTGATTATTCCAAGCAGCAGACTTCTTCTTTTTCTACAGTCTTTGGTTTCTTTTTCTAAACAATTCATTATTCATAATAATTCAAATCATTATTTGTACAATCACCTGATACCGCAGCTTCTCAGAAAGGATCAAAACTTCCTGTTAAGTAAATGATTAACTGCCCTGTTACTATTCAGAGAGGATTCGTTTTCCATGAGGAGGAGGGGTGTTGACATTTTATCACAGGCATGTAATGACATGTAATGTTAATGACCGTATTGCATGGGATAAGAAATCTGATAGAGATGTGAGTGGCTACTTGATTTGATGATCAAAAAAGTTCCATGTGTGATACGTTTGGCTGCCCACAAACATTCCGTCATAATTTTACAACAACTCTTTTTCCACAAGATATGATGTAATGTTTACTGACATGGCAACTCACACAGGATTAATCAAACCTGGGGCAGCCCCTGTTATCAGCTCCTGGGCACAAATGGTTTCTAGCTACCTTTTTTTGTGGTCAGGGAAGTCGTGGTCATGCAAACAGTAGATAACATGAGAGCTGCACAAAACCACAGTGGCAGAAAACTAACCGCAGTGTTGGTCCAGTCACCTCCATAAAGTTTTCGCTTGGGTGGGATTGTGGCATTAAAAAACTAAGATCAGTTTATTTATGTATCATTATTTACCTCCACCATCCTTCATCACACAGCTCTGCCTACAGTGCATTATGGATATAAAATAAATTCTCTTCTAATTCATAGTACAGTAGGAAAATTAGTTATGATCATCTATTAGTATTGTCTTTAAGAATTAATGTGAATTATTTGGTCTTGAATTTAGGGATGCGCACCGGTACTCAAGCACTCGGTTAACCAACTGAGGTGCCAGTATTCAAACACTGAACTCACTATTCAGCTGCTAGTTCTGTTTCCTCACAGGATAACAGAGAAAACAGGCTAACAATACAATGGCTAACTTTATGTTTTAACAGGACAGTAAAATGTTACAGTTGGGCTCTTATTTCTGAGTAAGTATGTAAATCACACTGTGCCCCCCGAAACACGAGTGGCTGAACACGTTGCCAAGGACGTGTTATGAAGGATGTGATTGAGAAGGCAGAAGGTTTAGCGCTACTAGGCTAACTACTTTAGCTGGTGTTAGCTTGGTCAGTGTTCAGTAGGAACGCATTTCTCTGATAAACTAATATCCACTGAGGAGAAAATACCTTGAGTAAGACGACAAGTCGTCATCAACGTCCAACACTGTACCGGTTAGCTATGGTTTTAGCTCATCTGAAGAGGCAGCCTCTGTTACTCATTCAACACGAAATCTACTGAATAATAAAGGGTTTTTTTTAATGTATTCCTCTGATTGCTGCAAATTTTTTAGCCTCTGTTCCCAGATAGCAAGTATATATCGGTCCGCTGGCTTGATAAGGTCGCCACCTCACTGACTGTTTGCCACTGCTGGTCCACCCTCAGACCACCCAGATTACTATCCTGCATACAAGCTCTAACTAGTTTTTAATCTCCCCAAACAGATTTTAAATGCACAGAGACTTTTGTTTTAGAAAATAAACTAAGAAAAATATTACAAACAACTGAGAGGAAAATAAAATAATGACTAGGTCTCATAAAAATGATTTTATAGAAAATGTCGTTGCTGACACTGTGCTAGATTAAAATTATTTACTAAACTATTTTATGAAGTATAACTAAAGAAAATTGGACTGCGAGTGGAAAATGAGTGATGATAGGTGGAATTTTGACTAATACTCTGCTTAAAGACCGGTGGACCACCCAGAAAACCATGAGCAAAACACCAGTGGGCCGCTAGCTTTGCAATCAGAGGGCCAACAGTGGTCCACTGTCCTCTTGCTATCAGGGTTTAGCCTCCTAGCACCAGAGCTGTCACCTAAAACAGTAACATTAACCTCAGTTTCTCCTGAGGTACTAGTTTCTTGTACCTGCTGTTAACCAGATATGTGTTTACTAACTCTCACAGATACTTGAATATGTTTAATATCTACTTCATATATAATCTCACAGGATAACTAAGAGCCTTTGGAAAAATATATATATATATATATGCTTGAATCAGAGAGATTATAATACTTCACTTTATTGTCTTATACATACAGGCCAAACTCAAGCTCCAGAGGAGTTAAGCAGAATGGAGGTATGTGTGATCTACAGTCCAGTATGAACCTGATATGAACCTGATGTAGATGCTGGCTGGATACTTTAATTCTGTTATGATATTGATTAGATCAGGATGATGATGATCTTTCTACCAATTTGACAAACATTTTAGTCATAATCAGACACGTTTGTACATTAATGGACTTCAGACCAAACATTTTATGGCAAACTCACCTCTTATTTCACTATTAACATATTTGTATGTCCTCTTACTGCCACAGCAACACAAAGTGGAGGTGAACAAGTGAGTCTCTATGTTTATTCACCATCTCAACAACATTGTTTTAGTGTTGATTATGATCATTCAGATTGTACTGTTATATCATAAAGACTGGAAAAGACAGGTGTTGTTCCAGTCAGTGCAGATCTTACAGAGAGTCACTGAAGACTTTGACCTCACATACAACAGACACCTGGTATAATATTTTATAAGTTTTAATACGTTTTTTCAGACATTAATATGTTTGAGCTGCATTATTATAAGCAGTGTATTTCACTGATTTTTCTAAAGTTCTGCATAATTAAGTGGTTGAGATGTAAACAGACTCATTCAGAGTGGTTTGGTGTGAAATGGTTCACTGTAGAGAAACGTACAGAGTCAGAACTGTTCACGGTGGTGGTGATAGGAACCAGACGTTCATCTCTAAAAGCTCCCTCACAGAAAGTTACTACATGAAACGGTAATGAATGCACCGCCAGAATAGTGCGACACTGTCTTGCCACAGATTTGAATTAATGTTTTCAACTTTTTTTTAAAAAAAGTTCAAAAACTCTTGTTCAAGAACATTCTTTACAGTAGATTCACGGCAAAGAGGTACATGCAGGATGTTGTATGGCAAATACATGGCTACATTTGTGTTGTAGACATCGTGTCTGTCACCACCACTGTAAAAACATTTTTTTTTTAAATCAGTGGAATTCTCCATGAACCGATAACAGCCAGCTGACTCTCAGCACAGCCCTGCCCAGTGTTTTGATTTCATTTTTACATCACTGAATTGCCTGAGACAATCCTTATTAAATCTCAAGCTTCATTATAATAATTCTTTGTGTATTTTTCAGTCAGCCAATTTATCAACAGCGCTTAATGAATTCAAGCAAAGTGCAACACTAGCATAGACTTTACAGGGTGGTTATTTTCCCCTCAGGAGCACCACTATGAGGACGTTCTATATTTCAAGAATATTCAGCCCAGCAGAACTCATAAACAGGTAAGCAGTCCTTTTACATTTAATATATCACTGTCCAAAAAAAAAAAAGGATCACTAAAATAGTAACTTTACAGTAGATGGAAAAATGGTCTTACCTTTTAATATGTGTTCATGTAAAGAGATTTTATTCCAAATGATTTTGTTTCTATTTGTCTTTCTATTGGTCCATCCATCATGAAATTTTCACACAATGTAAATGACGGCTACTGTGTTCAAATGATGTACAGAAATGTACAGCAGTTAGTTTCGGCCACGCAAGCTGATTGGTTGAGAAGTGTTCGAATCTTATGGTGTAATAACAGCACACTGTACTAAGTGACGACTTTGACAGCTGTAGGAGACGCTCAAGCCATTTGAACGTTTTTACTTCTTACTTTGCCACAAACAGAAAACGGACACTTTTAAGATCACATTTGACTGACAGCCGATTTGGTCAGACTCTGAAGATGAGACGACACTAAATTCCCAAACTGTCGTCACCACTGAGCAGCTTTTCAGTCGGCAGCTGTGACAGAAGAACAGCTAAACAACCTGGAATCAGCCAGAAATGAACCCAACACCATTCGCCAAACTAAACGGGCTGTAAGATGCTTTACAGACTGGCTGGAACAAAACAACATTAATACTGATCTGGCAAAAACTGACAAAACTGAGCTGAACTTGATATTGTGGCAGTTTTATGGCTCAGTCTGTACTTCAGAAGGCGAGGCTTACAGCAGACTGAGCAGCGAGTGGGCAGAGTTCATTACTCTGACGTAGCAACGAGCTGCTTGTTAAGGAACTATAAATCGGCTGAAGGAACTGTGAACATTAAAACACATTAAATGCCGCGTTCACGACCCAGTTTACTAATTTATTACTTTATTTATTTAACTGTTGTATAAAAGCAATAGAGCACTCGAGGTCGTGTGTTTTCGCCAATAACACCCCGGCTGTGATGATCTACGGTGACCAAATCACAGCCGTGATGTTATTTCACGATAACACACTCCCTCTCATGTTCTATTGCTTAAATAAAAGCGGAAAAAATGGAGATGCATATTTTTTTCTTTGGATAGCGACAATATTTTTTTTCTTCATAGTTGCAGCTTTAAAATATTTTTGGAAAATTATTGGCAAAAATACCAGAAATTAGTTGGTGTGCATTTTCACAGAAATCACACTGATGTACCCAGAGTTAAAGTCGAGTTTATGGCGAGTTTAAGTTGAGTTTATGGCGAGTTTAAGTTGAGTTTATGGCAAGTTAAAGTTGAGTTTATGGTGAGTTTAAGTCGAGTTTATGGCGAGTTAAAGTTGAGTTTATGGCAAGTTATAGTTGAGTTTATGGCGAGTTTATGGCGAGTTTATGGCGAGTTTAAGGCGAGTTTAAGTCAAGTTTATGGCGAGTTAAAGTTGAGTTTATGGTAATATAAAGTTTTGCTCTGTGGCCACGCTGTGCTGCAGATATTCATGGTCGACGTCATGCAGTCAGCTGACTCAGGCAGAAAGCAAGCAAAGTTTTTTTATATAGCACTTTTTACAACAGGTGTTGTCACAAAGCAGCTTTACAGAAAAATCAGCATTACAAACAAAAAAAAGTCTTGCACAAATTATGCAAAGACAGGCAGAAATAATATAGGTTTAAACATAAAACATATGCCCACATACTTCTGGACACATACAGTCACCATCAGGGTCTGTTAGAGCACTAAAATACAGAAAACCTTCTTTCTGGCCTCCAAACTGTGGAACTCAATTCCACCTTTTATTAGACAGTCAAGCTCGGTTCATGATTACTGTCTTTTTTTTGTATTTTTGTAATCATGCAACTGCTCCATATTTTATATTAATACTCATAATCTTAGTGTGCTTTTTTTTTGTCTTAGGAATCAGTATATGAAAACACTAAAAGACCATCTTGATGGACGCAGAATCAGGTGAGCAGCTCCGTTTCGTTTAGTGAGGGATTCACTGAGGCGGTTTGCTCAGTTAAATGATAAAATCTTTGGTGTGAATTTTCCCAGAAGTTTTTCCAGAAGTCGCATTGATGTACCTGTTAAAACAAAACCTCGTATCTCCGAAATGGTGACTTTACAGGAGAAGGAAAAACATTATTAACTGTAAATGGAAGTCAATGGAACCAGATTTTTTTTCTAAGCACTTTTGGAGCATTTCTGTTGGTCTGTTCATCATGAAATTTTGGGACATTGTAAAGGTCAGCTAGCTTGTTTAAATCCTGTAAAAAAGGTACAAAATGACAAAAGTAGAGATATGAGGTTTTGCTCTGACATGCGTGTTGTATGCGGTTGGTGTGGTGGGTTTGTGGGAGTTTCTTCAGCATTAAGTTTGTAACTGTTTGCTCAACAGGACACAAGAAGAGGATATTGAGTCCTCACCAGCCGCCATGGTCAGAGAGGACGACCCTACACTGTGAATGCTTTTGAAGTCCTTTAATTTGCTTCTGTGCTGACCTGCTGTTATCAGTGTGTCATTCAAAACCAGGTGTAGACTTTTACAATTTGCCTTGTAATAATTCTAGTGTGTTTGTTTATATGATGTTTATTTGTTTGTGATACTTATTTAACAGTTTTTTCTGTAAAGGTTGGAGTAACGGCCTCTATTCATCAATGTTGCTTAAAAACAACGTGTTGCTTCCAGATGCAGTTTGGAACTGTAGTGAGTGACGCAACAGAGGATTTTCATGCAATTTTTATTTACTATGTGCTTCAGAGTTTTGTGGTTTACCACTTCGTGGCTGAGCTGTTGCTCCAAGATGCTTCATTTCAAAATAATAGCACTTACACTGACAGGGGCAGATCTAGCAGGATAGAAATTTCACAAGCTGACTCGTGGAAGAGGTGGCATCCTATGGGAGTGTCATGTTTAAAGTCTCTGAACTCATCAGTACGACCCTCTACTGCCAGTGTTTGTTTGTGCAAGGCTACGTGCTTGATTTTAAAAGGAGTAAAAGGAGGTCCTGTCCTGCTGGTGTGAACTAGCAATGACTGAATTGAGGGGGAGTGAAAGTTGAGGGTAAACCCAACAAAAATGTAAGCAATTTCAGATTATAAGGAGCAGCACATTCACTTTTTAAAGTAAGCTCAACTTTAACTGTATTATTAACCCGATTGAGATACAGTAAAAATAATGTTGAGGTAGGAGAACTTTTGACTCACTCAAAAAAGCTGTGCTGCCATGTGAAAGAAGAAAATGTACATTTGAAAAAAAAGATTTGATATTATAATATTGACACTTTATATCCACATTTTATCTATTAACATGTATTAAAATTGTATTATGAACTTGACACAATGTTGCCTTGTACACATTTCAGTACCTGCCAGTCTGATTTCAGGGCTGGTCAGAGTGCTGTCCCTGCCTTTTCTCCGGTTGTAAACTATAAAACATCTGCTTTGGATAATAAACATCACTGTCCATAGAGTCCATAGTCACTGACTTGTTAAGACCTTTGACACAGTTGCTTGTTGTTTTCTGTTAATCAGACTGTCTGATGATGTTTATGATGCCTCTTCATGTAAATTGATTTTAGATTGATATGGCAGTCAGAGCGTAATGATCACTAAAAAAATGAAAAAATGAATGGAAACACATAACTAAGAGTGATTATCAGTTTCCTCTAGACTTGATGACCATCTCACACCACTTTGTCATATTGCCATATTTATTATTCATTATTATTTATGTATTTTTACAGACGTATGTGCTCAGATGTACTTTCCTCACATTTTCCACTGCTGTCCAGAGACCTGCTATATAAGTTGTGATAAACGTGTACTTTGACCTGACTCAGCACAAGAGGAGTTTGTTAATTAGTTAATGAGTTGAATCAGGTGTGCCAGATGAGGGAGGTGCATAGTGTGTTCCTCAGGACTGAGACTGGGAGCCCCTGCTTTAGCCTCATGCCTGTGTGGCCTTCACATGACTGTGATCCTTTGACTGTGGCCACTAGAGGGAACTGCAGACTAATGAATGAGAGACGTTGTAGGATATTGAATGGTATTCTGTGGTCGTAGATGATGACCCCATACCATTTACCATTATAAAACATGGTTTTGTTGCAGTTGTGGAGGTAAACAGCTGCATAAGGCTGTGATTAATATAGAACCACAAACACTCAAAGAACCCATTGCATGATTAAAGCATAGTAAAGTGCTGTAGATGGGTCTATATAGAACCTTTTTGGAAAATCCCTCATGCTTCTGCAGCTCCATTTCCCAAAATGTCGGGACGCTGTGTAGAATGTAAATAAAAATAGGATGCAATGATGTGAAAATCTTTTCAACCATATTTTTAAAGGAAAGTAGTACAAAGACAACAATCAAATGTTTGTATGTGTTGAAATTTTATTGTTTTTTGAAAAATATATGCACATTTTGAATTTGATGCCAACAACACATTACAAAAAAGTTGGGACGGGGGCCTGTTTACCACTGTGTTTCATCAGCTCTTCTTTTAACAACACTCTGTAAGTGTTTGGAAACTGAGGAGACACTGCTGTAGTTTAGAAAGTGAAATGTTTTCCATTCTTGTTTGATACAGGATTTCAGCTGCTCAACAGTTCGGGGGCTCATTTGTTGTATTTTTCATTTCATAATGTGCCAAATGTTATCAGTGGTGACAGATCTGGACTGCAGGCAGGTCAGTTTAGCACCTGGACTCTTTTAATACGGAGCAATGCTGTTGTAATGCATGCAGAATGTGGTTTGACACTGTCTTGTCAAGACTTTCCCAGAAAAGACGTTGTCTGGATGGCAGCATATGTTGCCAAAACATATATATATATATATCAGCATTAATGGTGCCTTCATAGATGTGCACGTCACCCATACCATGTGCACTAATGCCCCCCTACACCATCATGAATACTGGATTTTGAAATGTACGCTGATAACAAGCCGAGTGGTCCGGAGGACACAGTGTCCATGATTTCCAAAAACAATTTTAGATGTTGATTCGTCAGACCACAGAACACTTTTCCACTTCCCCTCAGTCCATTTTAAATGAGCTCAGGCCCAGAGAAGGTGGCAGCATTTCTGGATCCTGTTTATAGCGTTTTAGAGTTTTAATTGGTATTTGTGGATGCAGCGTCGAACTGTTGCCCATGCAGTGATTTCCACTACAGAATCATGTCTGTTTTTAATGCAGTGCTGCCTGAGAGCCCAAAGATCATGACCAGCAAATACTGTTTTTTTGTTCTTGTCCCTTACATACAGAGATTTCTCCAGATTCTCTGAATATTTTAATGTTATTATGTACTGTAGATGATGAAAAACAAAAATTCTTTGCTGTTTTACGTTGAGAAACTTTATTCTTGAATTGTTGCACTATTTGATCATGCAGTCTTTCACTGGTGAACCCCTCCTCATCTTTACTTCTGAAAGACTCCGCCTCTCTGGGATGCTCTTTTTTTACCCTGTAATGTTACTGACCTGTTGCCAATTAATCATCAGGCGTTTTTTTAGCATTACACAACTTCACCAGCCTTTTGTTGCCCCATCCCAACTTTTGAAACATGTGGTTGGCATCAAATTTAAAATGGGCAAATATTTTTCAAAAAACAATAAAATTTCTTAGTTTCAACATCTGATTTGTTGTCTTTGTACTATTTTCTGTGAAATATAGGGTTTAAATGATTTGCACATCATTGCATTTTGTTTTTCTTTATATTTTGCACAGCATCCCAACTTTTTTGGAAATGGGATTGTATATAGCACCAAAAAGGGTTCTTCTACTGTTATCATGTCAAGCCTGTAATGATAAAAGAACCCTTTTGGTGCTATGTAGAACCCCTTTCATAAAGATCCTATATAGAACCATATAAAACACTCTTCATCAGTCTGAAGAACCATTTGATGATGCAAAGAACCCTTTAATCATCCAAAGAATTCTTTGAGTATTCATGGTTCTATATAGAACCATTTTCTTTACTAAAGAACCCTTGAAGAACCATCATTTTTAAGTGTGCAGGGTCAGGAAATCAGTAGACATACTCATATTATGAATACACAGACTAATACAACGGAAAATAGTAAAAAACAAAACAGGATTGTTTTACTATCCGGTGTGGACCAGAGGAGGATGGCTTCCCCTTTTGAGTCAAGGTTTCTTCCTCTTCCTCTTTTTTTTCCTTGCCACTGGCTCATGGGGGCTCAGACCCGCAGATAAGATCTACATATCTTAGTTTTTTCCTGGTCATTCTGGTCTATTTTGCTTGTTTTTTATCCACCTGCAGGGCTGTAGCTGCAGCAACGGTGATGAGGAGAGCTCTATCAGAGCACAGAGCTACAGCTCACCTACCAACATGGCGACATGATCTTCTTAATGACGCAATCCAATACTATGAATTGGCAACTTAGCAAAATTCCATGGCGCTACATGCACAACATAATGGACCTTATAAGGGTTCTATGAGGTTGTGACAACGTTCTGACAATGTTGTCACAACTTTCTGAGAAATTACATTTCAGCATTGTGACAATGTTGTGGGCACCAAAACAATGGGTTGTCTCAATGTTATCACAACATGACTGTTTGCTTTTTCCACCTTTCCAATTTCTTTGAAGATATGAAGATTTGAAGATATACATGTATCAAATTATTCTACGATAAAACGTATTTCTTACAAGTTTCAAACAGTTTGTAGGAACCTGTAAAAAGGAACACATTTCGATGACAAACGATGATGTAAGTTATTTTATGATAATTGGGAAACCTGTACACCACTGAGAATGAACTTAGAAAGAATATGACATCCACATAATATTTGCCTAATATTTGAAAATGATAATCAAATCTCGCTAATTAAGAAACTATCCATAGAATTTTTGTGACAACAAATTCCACATAACCAAAAATTATCAGTAGCAGCAGAGCAGTTGGTGAGTCGGTGCTGCAAAGAAAGGGGACACTGCGCTGGACAGTGCCGCATGCCTGGCCTGGCAGGTAAATGGATGCTGGCCCGGAGGTTCAGCGGCGGCTACAGACTGGGGGTTGAGTGCTGAGAGGATGGCAGATGGCTCATCACACCCATCATCATGAGCTTGCTGATATCCCTACTGTGACCAGGCGCACTCACACACACTGAGAGAGCCACATCAAAGGTCTGGAAGGTAACCATCATCAGGGCTCCAGCGCGCCCAAGCGGCACCTGTGCCAGTGTCAATGGCGTGATGGGTGGTGGAGAAAGGTGGCTGAGATGCCTAGGAGAGGGCACCTGGCAGTGTTTATGTTGGCCGGGACTTGGCTTGAAGTGGTGGGACTCTGGGACAGTCGAACTTTGAAGCGGGGGCTATGTAGCGTCCTGCTACTGGCCAAGCAAATGAACCTTTTAAAACATATTTTGGGGCTATGCTGGGAAACGTGTAGGGAAGAATAACCCCAAACACTGTGGTGGTCTCTGGACAGCAGTGAAGAAAGTGTTGGAAGAAGTTCCTTTAAACCATTTTAAACTTTAGGAAAATGTGACAAAGCAGTGTGGATCTGTGTTCTGGCCCACAATAAGTTCAAGAATCAAATCCTTATTAAAATTATAACTGCACAAAAAAAGTAAAAATCAGCCTGATTTGCTTTGTGGTGATAAGAAAATTAAGCAATTTATTTTTGTACAGCTTTGTAATTTTTCCATGTGGTTATTTTAATAGTGTATTAATAGTTACACTAACACGTTCTTAATGAATATAAGTGGTAAAACTCCCCTCTAACCAGCTACAACCCTTCTCTTACGCAGTGTTTTACAGTGTGCTGAGAACTAAAGCAGCTCCTCCTGAAAATCCACTCCTGCTGGTGTAACTGTCACATTTAGAGGAATAATCATAAAAACATGCAGATTTTGTGTTCATACAGCAGTTTCAGATCAGTTTGAACTCACACTGATTAAATATTTTAATATTCTTAAATAATCCTGTGTAAATCATCTCCAGAATGACTGAGTTAGCAGAAACTTTGATAAAAGGCTGAAGCTGGTTTCCAATTCGCCATCCTCTTGTTTTCCTGTTCCACCTTAAATGCTGCAGAAGAAGCTGGCGAATAAGAAGCTGACCTCAGTTTCATGTGTTTTGTTTATGACTGAGTCAGGTGAGCACTGAAGGGGCGGAGTCTGAGTGCTGAGATGAGCGGACAGATCACTCTGCACTGGAACGCTGAGTGGTCTGTTCTCACAGCTCAGATCTGAGCGCGCGTGCTGAGGAGACTGTCTGTCCGTCAGTGGTGATGGCTGCGCGCGCTCTGAGCTGCACTCTGACTCTGTTGGTGTGTTCAGGTAAGAGTTCCTCTCACTTTCTGCTCTCAGCGCTTCCGTTCTGGACGGAAAAAAGTGTCCAAACAAGCAAAAAATGTAAACAGAGTGATTCAGAGTGGTTTGGTGTGAAATGGTTCAGATTTCTTTACAGTGGTGGTGATAGGAACCAGGGGTCGCCATGACTACAACACAAATATAGACATTTTATTTACTTCTTATTTACTTCTTAGTATTAATACTGAATGTTGATGATGGTAAAACAGTCATAAATCTGAATAGACAGGTTTTCTTTGCCTCATAACATCCTGCATGTATCCCTCCACCATGAATGGATTTTAATGTGAAAACTTTATTTCAGAACTATTGTAAACAGTGTCTCAGTCATCAGGCAGTGAATTCATAACCATTTCATGTAGTAACTTTCTGTGAGGGAGCTTTTAGAGGTGGACGTCTGGTTTCTATCACCACCACTGTGGACAATTCTGACTCAGTACGTTTCTCCAGAACAGAGCGTTTCACACCAAACCACTTTGAATGACTCTGCTTACTGTTGAAAAATCAGTGGAATTGTCCTCTAATATTATTGTGTTTGTCTCTCTGGGCCACCAGCATTTTTACAGCATTTCTCTTGTATGTAAACTCTCACTGATTAAAGATGTTGTTTTCAGTACTGTAAACACAGCTTTCTAATTGTGTTTATGTCTTCACAGGAGTGTGTTTGAGTCAGGATCTGTTATTACCCACCAGCCTGAATGGAGCAGTTGGGGGGAACGTGACGTTTGACCCGATCACAATTCCTCCTCCACCACGTGATCCGATCAGCTGGAGTATTGGTGGATCAACCATTATTACTGCAGTTGGTGGTACAGTTACAGTATGGCCTGTATACACTGGCAGAGCCAGCATGGACATAAACACTCTGGCTCTGGTGCTCAGTAATCTGAGTATGGCAGACGCTGGAGGATATACTCTGACTGTGAATGCCAGGAGTAAACAAACTACACTGGCAGTGTTTGGTGAGTAAACAGAAGCGTTTCTGACAGGATTTGTTTGTTTCATTAACTTTCACCGTCCTTATTTTGAACATGTACATGTGTGTGAGGGCTGTGTTTCCTCTGTGTTTTCATACTGCTGTTTGTGCAGCAGCGTAGTGCATGCCCATGAATGCAGTCTTTCACAGCAACTGTTGGACAAGCTAAACAGAATCCTACTCATCCTAATGAGAAGCTGTAGCACAACTTTTATCAAAATGCCTACATTTAGAATGCATCATTAATTTCAATGTTTATTTTGTAAGACTGTAAAAGGTCACTCTGTTAGAACAAGTGTAGATTTTTTATGGTGTAATCCCACCCTGACTTCCAGCTACAACAACCACTGGTGACTGATTCATACCGTTAATTTATGGAGATTATATGCGCTTTAATTTTTAACGACTTCTGCCTCTATTTGTCTCTCTTCATCACTTGTTGTTATTGATAAATATTGCTGTAACGACTCGCATCTTTTTTTTGAAGGACAAATTATTTTTGAAGAAGCAAATTATCAATTTGTTTGCTTTCCTTGCTGAAGTTAGGTTGCAGGTGGATTGAAAATGTTACATTTATGAAGGCATGCGAAAAAATAAAGTATACTCTTTCTAAATGTTCCAAATGACCGTTAAGTACAACCCCCTTTCCAAAAAAGTTCAGACACTGTTCCAAATGTACATAAAAGTAGAATGTAATGATGAAGAAATCATTTAAACCCTACATTTATTGGAAAACATCAAAGACAACATATCAAATGTTAAAACTAAGAAATTATATTGTTTTTTGAAAAATTAATGCCCATTTCAAATTTGATGCTGGCAACATGTTTCCCAAAAATTGGGATGGGGGCATGTTTACCACTGTGTTGCTCCAAAAGCTGTAAATATCATTTAGCTTTAATTGTACTTTCACAGATGTGCAACTCACCCATGCTATGTGTGCTAATGCCCCATACCATCATGGCTTTTGAACTGTATGCTGATAACAAGCCAGGTGGTCCCTTTCCTCTTCATCCCAGAGGACATCCATAATTTCTAAATAAAATTTAAAATTTGGATTCTTCAGACCACAGGACACTCTTCCACTTTAATTTAGTCCATCTTAAATGAGCTTGGGACCAGAGAAGGCGGCAGCGTTTCTGGATTCTGTTTATATATGATTTTCTCTTTGCATGGTAGAGTTTTAACCTGCGTTTGTGGATGAAGCGCCGAACTGTTTTCACAGACAGTGATTTTCAGAAGTGTTTCTGAGCCCATGCAGTGATTTCCGCTAAAGTATTGTGTCTGTTTTTAATGCAGAGCCTCCTGAGGGCCCGAAGATCACTGCCAGCAAATATAGGTTTTCAGCCTTGTCCCTTGCATACAGAGATTTCTCTGGATGCTCTAAATCTTTTAATGTTATTATGTACCGTAGATGATGAAAAGCTAAAGTTCTTTGATATTTTATATTGAGAAATGTTATTCTTGAATTGTTGCACTATTTGATCGTGCAGTCTTTCACAGAGTGGTGAACCCCTCCTCGTCTTTATTTCTGAAAGACTCAGCCTCTCTGAGATGCTCTTTTATACCCTGTCATATTACTGACTTGTTGCCAATTAACCTAAGTAGTTGCGAGATGTTCCAACAGGTGTTACACAACTTTACCAGTCTTTTTGTTGCCCTTGTTCCAACTTTTTTGAAACATGTTGCTGGCATCCAATTCAAAATGGGCATATATCTTTCAAAAACAATGGAATTTCTCAGTTTGAACATTTGAGATATTGTCTTTTTACTATTTTCAATTAAATATAAGGTTTAAATGATTTGCACATTATTGCATTCTGTTTTTATTTACGTTTTTCACAGCATCCAAACATTTTTGGAAACAGGATTGTACAAGTTACTCATTTTTCACAAGAGATATAAGATATATTTCTGGAGATATAAAGTGATCTAAATGTTCTGCACAAATGTAGAATGGCAGTAATAGGGCAAGGCCTCTCACAGTAAGATCTGATTTACCATAACATTCATAGGACATCTCGTCTTGGGCTGACCCCTGGGTGTTAGCCCAGTCTAGCCGTGCCTGTGCACTTTGTCCTAACAGCTAGCCTGCTTTTAAAGGTAGTGTCACATGACATTGTAAAGCCTTCAGGATAACTACACTGGAAATGTCAAGTCAAAACATGAACAAACCGCAGACCTGTCAGCTGACAGCTCCAGACTTCACCTGCAAAATGGGTGGCTACATTACTTAACTTGAATGTAAATCCATTATTTAAAGACAGAATCTGTTTTACAAGTGTATAATAAATTTAAAAGCAATATCACTAGCATGCTGTAGATATTACAGGCGAATGGTTATTTGATTAATCAACTTAAAGTGGAATTCCACTGATTTTTCAAAATTTCTTTCAGTCTTTCAGACGTGTCTCCTGAGTTTTATATATAATGTTGATAATGTTAAAATAATGGAAAACCGGAAAAAAATTTTTTTCTTTGGGCACTATTTTGGCTTACAACACAGTGTATGTACCCTTCCATCATAAAGGGATTTTAAAAAATAAATTTTAGGCCAAAATCTTCTCAGAACTATCACAAAACAGTGTCTCAGACATCAGGCGGTATATTCATAACCACTTCATATCTGTGAGGGAGTTTTTAGAGGTGGACGTCTGGTTCCTATCACCACCACTGTGAGAAACTCTCTAGAACAGAGCATCTCACACTAAACCACTTTCCACTAAAAAGAGACAGTTTGTAAACAAACTTTGATTTGACTAATAATCTATTAATACATCAGAAGATAAATCACTGTTTTTCATAATTTAATTGGGTTTATAAGGTAATTCCAGGTAGTTGCTATGGTGTTGCTATTCTAGCTTGTTGTTGAGGCATTGCAAAGTGGTTGTTAGGTGGTTGCTAAGGTGTTGCTAGGCTGTTGCTATTGTATTCCAAGTGGTTGTAAATGTGTTGTTAGGCCATAGCTATACTATCCCATGTGGTTGCTAAGGTCTTTCTAGGCCATTGCTATGCTATCCGAGGTGGATGCTAAGGCGTTGCTAGCCTGTTGCTATGCTGTCCCAAGTGGTTGTTAAGGTGTTGTTCGGCTATTGCTTTAGTATTCTTGGTGGTTGCTAAGGTGTTGTTAGGAGGTTGCTATTGTATTCCTGGTGGGTGCTCAGGTAATGCTAAGCCATTGCTATGGTGTCCAGGTAGTAGCTAATTTGTCGCTAGGCTGTTGCTATGGTCGCCAAGGTGGTTGTAATGGTGTTGCTATCCCATTGCTATGGTATTCCAGGTGCTACATGGTATTCCAGTCCTATATTTTTTTTGATCACTAGGGGCCTCCAGCAGGTACTTAAAGCAAAAGAAAAAAAAAAATTTTCAACAAATTCGTCTGGAAAGGTTCACTAGCAGAAACAAAGCAGGCAAATCCACAATTCAAATCCAGAAAATGAAGAAGGGTCCAAAACAAGAAAACAAAAAACAGGAATAAGAAACGAGGCTCAGAAATGTACAGGGAAAACTGCAAGACCTCATAAAGAAAATTAGCTGAAAATGAAAAGGTGGAGCCAGGGTAAAACTGGAGTGGTCCATTTCCAACTGGGAGAGTCTATGTGCTGTCTCCGTTTAGAAGAGAGATCGCGCCTAGCACATGCTGTTTGTGCCGTGGCTTTCACTCCATTTATAGACAGTACATGATCTGTCATATGCTGCTTCTGTTGCCAGAAAGCTCCAGCTCAGTCAGTGAAGATGTGTCATAATAAACGCTACATGGCAAACCCTGGAAAAGAATGGTAAAATTGATGTTCAACATGTGTGGCTCCAACGGGCCCTTGGAGTTAGCAAGTTAGCATATATTCATTATCATGCAAGCCATTAAAGTTAACTGTAAAACTTCTCACTGATTTTAATTCAGTTGTGTGCTAGCTCTGTTGCATTTATTTCCAAATATATTTAAATTCACAAAAAAGTCACAAAAGTTCACAAAAAAGTCAGGCATGTGCACATCTAGGGCAGCAAGTTGGTGCAGTGGGTAGCGTTGTCGCATCACAGTGACAGTGCTACCCACTACACTAGCCACTACCCACTCCAGGCCGCGTGACCAGGGTCCTGTTTGGAGTTTGCACGTTCTCTGTGTGGGTTTCCTCCGGGTGCTCCAGTTTCCTCCTGCAGTCCAGAGACGTGCAGACAGGCTGACTGGACATGCTAAATTGCCCCTAGGTGTGAATGTGTGTCTGATGGACTGGTGACCTGTCCAGTGTGTTTCCTGTCTTCTGCCCAATGACCGCTGGGATAGACTTCAGCACCCCCTGCAACCCCCCTAGTGTGTGTGTGATATGCATATCTGCTTATGACTTTTGAGGTTCCTCACAAAGTAATGCCAGAACAACTCATGCCAACCACTCAGCAGCTGTAATGCCAACCAATCAACACTTAGTAGAAGTAATGCCAAAGAATCAGCACTTGGTAGCAGTACACACACACACCCCTTCCAAGCTGCTTATCCCTCTGGGTCGCAGGGGGTGCTGGAGCCTATCCCAGCTGTCATCGGGCAGAAGGCAGGATACACCCTGGACAGGTTGCCAGTCCATCACAGGGCAGACAGACATACACATTCACTCACACCTAGGGGCAATTTAGCATGTCCAATCAGCCTGACTGCATGTCTTTGGACTGTGGGAGGAAACCCCCGCAGACACAGGGAGAACATACAAATTCCACACAGAGAGGACCCTGGTTGCCCGGCCAGGGAATTGAACCCAGACCCTTTTTGCTGTGAGGCTACAGCGCTACCCACCATGCCACTGTGCCACCCTTTTGGTAGCAGTAATGCCAACCAAAAAAATTTTAAAACAGAAACATACTGGTAAGAGTTGTGAGGGGTTAGGGAATTGTAGTCTGAAGCAGCAGTGTTGGCCGTAGTTCCAGCCGTGCAGAAGGGAAGAGTGACAGTACCCCCCAAAGAGTCCAGGACAGCCGAGGAACGAGAGCAGCCGTGACGACCACCACCTACTCGGCTGGAGGTGTCAGAGGGCAAGATCCCAAAGCCTCCGGGTGCTGGACAGGAACTGGACCATTGGAACAAACCGGACAGGAACTAGAGATACTCTTCCTGGGGCATCCTCTAGGACAGGGAGCTGGCTTCTCCAGATATCTCGCGTGGAAATCCTGGACGTCTTTCATCAATACCCAGCTCCTTTCCTCCAGTCCGTAACCCTGCCAGTCTATGAGGTATTGTAGGGTTTCACCACATTGCTGGGAGTCCAGCACCTGACGGACAGCATAGACCAGTGTGCCCTCTACCTGCAGCAGCTCAGGTGGCTCTCTCTCAGGCGATGCCTCATCCAAGGGCCCAGGGACAACTTGCTTGAGGAGGGAAACATGAAATGAGGGTGAAATACAGAACTGAGCAGGCAGATTGTGTCTATATGTAACATCATTGATTCTTTTGAGGATTTGGAACGGACCAATGAACTTAGGTTGTAATTTTCGACTACCCTCCCCAAACCTAAGGTCCTGCGTAGACAGCCAAGCCCAGTCTCTAGGCTGAAAGGAGGGGTCTCCTCATGACACTTGTCCCCTTGCTCGTTGGCAGGCCTGAGAGCCGCCTCAATGTTACAGAGCATTTGTTCCCAGACCTCCTCGCTGCGTTTCATCCAGTCATCAATGGCTGGGATGTCAGAAGGGGCTGCAGTCCACGGTGCTAGTGGAGGTTGGTATCCTAATACACATCGAAAGAGAGTTAGTGGAGTAGCTGAGCAGATCAGAGAGTTTTGGGTGATTTCAGCCCAGATGAAAAATTTTGACCAGTCACCTGGTTTACTACTACAAAAGGCCAATAAGAATTTCCCTAACTCTTGATTTACCCTTTCACATTGTCCATTCGATTGAGAATGATATCCAGAGGTAGGACTAATGTTTATACCAAAGTGGTCAGAAACCTGACCACACCCAAGATGTGAATTGTGAACCTCAGTTTGAGACTATGTATTCTGCGATTCCAAAATTATGAAATGTGTGTATACAGGGCCATGGTGGTGTCAAATGCGGTAGGCAGAGACTTGAATGGGACAAACCTAACACTACAGAAAAAATTATTGATAATGGTGAGAATGGTGGTATATTCATCTGAAGGTGGTAAGTCAGTGACAAAATCTATAGCAATGTGTGACCTGGGGCGTCCTGGAACTGGGAGCAGCATTAGCTTGCCAGCAGGTTGAGTTTTAGGGGTTTTGCTTTGATCACATACGGAGCAGGAAGACACAAAGCAGTGGACATAATGCTTTAATGTCTCCCACCAATAATGGTGCAATAATGGAACGATCACGGAATTAAGTAGGGAAGTACAGTTTCTGTGGTGGACAGTTTTTGGCAACAGTGATGTTTTCTAAACCTTGTGTATACAGTAGATGGTGGATATGGGATAGGGCAACCGCTTTAGAATTATCGGAACCGGGACAGTAAGTAATAGTGAATGGTAACATGGTAGGTATGTTATGGTAACAGGCAGGAGAACAGACTTCAAAACCAACCCCTTTGTGGGAACACTCACCACATTAAAATCCATGCACTTTCCCTGGGTTGGCATCTGAGGCATGTGCGGACGAGTTAAATTGTCATCCTTGCAAGCTAACTCCTTGCAAGCCAATACCCCAGGATCGAGTCCATTGCGGAAAGCTACCAAAAGTGTGGGCTCATTCTACCCACCTCCTGCAGCCAGAGTACGAAACTCAAATGCGTAGGCTGCCACTGGAATAGCCATCTTGAGGACTGTCGAAGACTGTCTTAAAACTAAATTGTTCATAAGACATGTCTTGCAGGCGAGACCACCCAGCAGTTGCCCACTCTAATGCTTTGTCAGAAAGGCGTTCAAAATATGCTATTTTGGCCTGATCAATACTAGACGGGGAGTTACTAAAAACATGGAGCGTTGCAGGAGAAAACCTTGATATTTATCTGGAGATCCATCAAACTTATCGGGTTTGCTTACTGGAAAAACCGGACTAACACTGACTAGGGCGTTGTGAGGAGTAGGAGAGACTGGGGCAGTGACAGAAGCAGGTGAGAAAACAGAGAGGTTACGCAGTTGAGTAGAAATGTCTTTGATACCTGTTAGGAGCTGGGCTAGCTGGGCCTGCCGTTCAGTTTGCTGTCGGGTGAGGTCCCCAAAAGACAGAGTAACCCCTGCCAATACCTGCTGGTGATGCCGCAGAACTTGACCTTGGTTGCTTAAGATCTTCTGTACAGCCTCAATGTCTGCCGTCTGCATGATGGTGAAGTATCCTGTAACGGTGGCAGGCGGAAACAGGTGCTCGCAAACGAGGCTAGAGTTAAGATCTTTAATAACAGAAGGATGATCCAAAATCACTGTTAAAAAGCCAGAGCAAAAAGTCAAAAACCAGAGATCCAACAAGACAAAAGGGCAAGGCAAAACATCAGGGTCAGGACAGAAAACAGGTCATACACGGAAGTTGTAAAACAGGGAATGAAAGAACGCTCTGTATGCTCATGATGAGACGATACTTCACAAAGAAGCTATGCTAAAGGCCGGGCTATTATACTAAACTAACTAATACATACAATGAGGAACAGGTGTGTGGGTAATCAGAAGTCTGGTGAGGCTGAGCGCTGATAGGTTGATCGGTTGGAGTCCTGAATCATGTGAGTCAGAGAGGGGTTCTGGGAATTCTAGTCTGAGGCGGGAGTGTCAGCTGTAGTTCCAGCCGTGCCAAAGGTAGGCGTGACAGCTTAATTTATCCCAATTATCCAAACCGGTCAAACCACCTGAACCTAGTGATAAACTGTTGAGTTGAATCAGATGTGTTTCACCAGATGTGTTGCTGGAATCTGCCCCTCCAGGATGGGAAATCCCCACCACTGACTGAGCCGACACAGCCAATACCTACATAACCACTTAAACATAGTATAGCTCATAGTTTTTATGTTTTAGATGTAAATCAGTAATGCTCGTTCAGGTCTTAGTGTGAACTGACTCCTGTATTACTCTTTGACTTCCAGAGCCGGTCTCCAACATTACAGTAACACAGAATGAGACAGAGCTTGTTGAATTTAACAGGACTGTCAGACTCGCTTGCTCCGCCTCTGGCTCCTCCCTCTCATTCTCATGGCTGAATGGAAGCTCTGAGGTAAAAGTTGGGGGGCGAGTTCAGCTGACCAATGGGAACAGAACTCTGACCATTACCAGTGTGAGCAGAGATGACACAGGGCCATACAGATGTGAGGCATCCAACGTCATCAGCAATGAAACAAGTCGCCCTTTAACCCTCACCATCTACTGTGAGTTCCTTCTTATCATGTGACTTGTTGAGAGGAAGCTGTGATTTATGGACCCATCATATGTGATATATCTGATATATCAGTAAGAGCATGATGGCTCTAAAGATGACTGAATATGGATTATTCCATTGCAGATGGTCCAGACAGTGTTTCTGTTAAAGCAGAACCTTTAAAAACCATCTACAGCTCTGGGTCTGACCTCACACTGACCTGCTCAGCTGAGTCCAGCCCTGCTGCTGAGTTTCAGTGGGCTGTGAATGGAGCAGTGCTGAGTACAGAGGGTCCAGAGCTCAAACTTACCAACATTCAGACCAGTCAGAGTGGCAGCTTCACCTGCACAGCCCATAACAGCAAGACCCTGAGATACTCCACATCTGAACCCACCCACATCACTGTAATGGGTGAGTTAAGAAGAAGGCTGCAAACTAGTTCAAAAGGCTGGCAAAGATATGCATTATGGACCAAAAAGCCAATCAAAAAGCCAAGAACAAAAACATGGCACACACCCAAGTGGTGGCTAAGGTGTTACTAGGCTGTTGCTGTGGTGTGGCTAATATGTGTGTGTATGTATGCACTAGTATATATGTGAGTCTGTATGTAATGGCTGTGAGGGTCAGTGTGAGAAATTTGTGGCAGCTAGATATGAACTCAACATTAATCCATTCCGTTTCTAAGGGAAAAAAAAAACAAACAAACGCTGTGTGACTCCTAATAAAACTGTGACAATCCCAGCTATTACTCATGCAGGCAGCGATACTACATCTCTACCCAGACTACTGTTTTTGGAAACAACACCAGCAGATCAGAATTATTCTGATCTGACTGCATTTAATCAGGAGTGATTAGAGTAAAATAATGATATTTTGCAAAATAAAGCCATAGCAGTGATCCAATACCAGACAGATGCTTATCTGAAATGAAGCACTTCAATAGCTCATTTTAAAGTAGTTAGTAATAGTTTTTAAAAAAAATATTGGACTGACATCAGCACTAGCCAATACTCGGTTGCTTGATGCAGAATTTATATTTTTGGACAATTATAGAGTGAATTATTCTACCCAAAGTCTTTCCAAAATTCTAAATTTCTATCATGTTTTAATGATTATCTACTGTTTTTATTTACTCACCATCAGCATCTTATAGTAAACTTTTTTAAAGGTGTATTGTACTGTGTGAAAGTTGGAAAGCACCCTTAATTTCATTTTCTATCAAAACATTCATTGAGTAGAAGTTAGTTATTTCAGTGTCAGGAAAAAGCAGACACATATTGTAGTATCCTGCTACTGGCTTGCTCTGCTGTAAAGACTCTGGGCATTGCGTGGCTATACAAAGGGCCATGGCAAGAGGCTCATGGAAGGTGCACACTGCCCATAAAACAGGTACTTAAATGTTTCTGCTGGTATCAACGGTATATATATATACGGAGCACTTCTTACAGCAGAATCATGGCCTCTATGGTGTCTTACTCTACACCGAAGTTACAATATATTCAACAGAAAATTACACAGAATGTCACAACAACTAAATTTATCATTTTTAAAATTTTCATTTTAGTATATTTTTTCAGTATTTAGTGTGTCCACCCAACATTTTAATAGCCATTATAGTTATAGCTTACTTGATGTCTTACTCATTCTCTCCTACAGCCTCAACAAGTTCATCTAAAAGTACATCTCTGTCTCCCCTTCTGTAACATTCTTCATTATTTAGACCCCAAATGAATCTGAGCTCTGCATACACTTAGGGGGCATCAAGAGAGGACTAAATCGCTGACTAAATCCCATAAATCACAAGAACAGCAAGTTAACAGTGAAGAATAAATGTTGATACAAGCAGCTCTTTAAACAGTGGTTAGCGTTAGTTGGCTAATCAACGCACCTGGTTACAAAACGTTACCTTTCAGAAGTTTGTTGTCATGGTTAAGGAAACTGACAAAATGAAAAACTCCCAATCTTGAGTCAGTCAGAGAGGGTCTCCTTTTCGACCACCAAAAAAACCTGTTTTATTGTTTTATTTTTATTGCCCACTGATCCATTGATGAAATCAGTAGTTTAAAAGTACGCTGTTCGACATGATCACATGATGCAGTACTTCTGTTTCATGAGACTGTTGAGAAGCAACTTTTGCAACTAAGTTTCATTAGGCAACTCAGATGCAATTTGTAGGTTTCAAGCAACAAAAGTTGCATGAAAGTTTCACCTCATAAAGCTAGCTCAAGATTGGAAGGATGGAAGAGTTGAAGTGGCAGTAGGTGCACAAAAGTAATAAGTGGACAAATTAAATACTGATAGATTTTATTTAATTTTTATATTTTTTACTTAACATCAGTCCCATCATTGAACATTCATTTTTCACTCACTTCTCTTTTGTCAGAAAAAGTATCTGGAGCTGTCCTCATTGGTCCAACAGCTCCCATAATAGAAGGAAACTCTGCTAATTTAACCTGCAATGCGAGTGGGACTATCATCACTACAGAATGGATGAAGGATAATCAGAAGCTGTCTCCTAGCAACAACATCATATTCTCAGCTGATAACAGATCAGTGTCGATCAGATCAGTGAGCAGAACAGACGATGGTGAATATCGGTGCACTCTCAGCAACCCTGTCAGCTCTGATACTGCAGTGTTCACCATGACTGTTAACTGTAAGTACAAAACATCAGCCTGCTGTTCATTTAATCTACAGCTGCTCTGTAATCTGACAGATAACGGCTCTTCACTGTTACAGATGGACCTGATACTGTGAGAATTGATGGGCCCAGTGAAGTGGAGGAGGGAGGATCTTTGAATTTCCGGTGCTCTGCTGAATCTGTACCAGACCCCAGATACACATGGACATTTAGTGGAACAAATACTGGAGTGACTACAGCCTCATTCACAGTGAAGCAGGTCAATTTCTCTAACAGTGGAATTTACACCTGCACCGCCCGGAATAACGTCACTGGACGCGAAGCCTCAGCATCCCATACTTTGGCAGTTAAAGGTAAAACTTTCCTCTGGAATGCTTTATTTCACCCCTTGATTATTGTAATGAGACCACTTGAAGAAAGACATTTGTATAGAAACATTTTGTTCAGGACTCCAACGATGCTAAGATCATTGTTAGTTACCAGACTGCAAGACTCTACACCAACTCACCTAGAATATGCCTGGTCTTGTCATGGATTTCTATAAAAAAAAAGTTATTTCATGTAATCATGCAAAATTGCAAAGCTTCGCTCCAATTATTTTTTTGGATATAAATGTTTGAAGTTTGGAAAAAATGATGCTCTACTCTTACAAATTTGATGTTAAATAAATAGAAAAAATAAAAATGTGATAGAAAATGTGATTTGGAATTCTACACTATGTGTATAATGAATAACAATGAATAAAGTATTTTCATCAGACAGATGAAATATAGAAATATTGGCCAATATAGGTACAATATATATTTCTTTAAAAACTACTTAGCTTTAAAATGAGTTATTTGAGGCACCTCACTTACTATGAGCATCTACCTGGTACTGGATCAGTGCCATATCTATTTATTTTCCAAAATGTCAGTGTTTTCCTTTAATCACAACAGACAGAATGCATTAAATGACTGATCTGCTGTTTTCTCTATGTTGTTTCAGAAATAGGGAGTTTGAGTGGAGGTGGAGGTTCACTGTCTGGAGGAGCTATAGCTGGGATTGTCATTGGGGTTTTATTGGGAGTCGCTCTAGTTTCTGGTTTGATCGTCTACTTTACAAAATTCGCAGGAAGGTAAGTAAACGCACCTTTACTTTATAATGTAAAGCACAGCAGTATCACTCATAGTCAACCATGATGTTCACATTCATTGGTTCTCCAGTAACTGTCACCATGTGTTAGATTTGGATCCTCAGTTGCTGGTTCGATAGTAAAAAGCTAAGCTAGAAGAGTCAGTTACACAAAGTGCACAGCCTTTAAGGATAACAGCCTCCAAACGAAATGCTTCTTTCCTTCTCCACCTTGTGATTAAAGTTGTAAGTACTTCTCAATAAGTCCACAAATGTCCTGCTTGCCATTTAGATGGAGGTTCATTATTTGTACACTAACCTGATATCTTAGACTTTTAGAAAAGAACAGAACTGAATTGTTTGTAGTCCCCTTCCTGTTAGTTAAATGATTAACTAACCTGTTCTAACTAAGATACTATTCAGAGAGGATTCGTTTCCCATGAGGAGTTGGGGTAATGTCGTTTTATCACCGGCATCTATAATGTTTATGACCAAATTGCATGGGATAAGAAATCTGATAGAGATGGGAGTGACTACTTGATCTTATGACCAAAGACATTCCATGCATGATACGTATGGCTGCCCATAAACATTCCATCATAAAATTACATTTTAACGTTTAGACAGTACGTAACGTTGTGAAGTATTGCCAACACTTGCCCGTTGCATACTGATGGGTTTCTGTCTGTAAAACTTCTCTGTGTATAACCTGTTTTTGTGTTTTTGACTTGCCTTTTCTTGTTTGCCCTTTTTGATTTAATTGCTGAACTTTACTGATCTCTTGGTTTTTGAACTGGCTACTGGATTTTCTCTTGATTCTCCCTTTTGGTTTTGACCCTGGCCTGTTATGACTATGCTCTTTGTGATGCTCCACAACCCTCAAGTAAACTACAACCTTGTCTTTTAATCTGCAAGCGTCTGAACTGTTTTGACAGTATACGTTGCCACCATGCAGACGGCAGATCCCGGCACTATATCCTCTGCTGTGAGCCAATAAGGTCAAAGGTTGGGACAACATCACACGTTACTTGAGGAACTTTCTTAGTCTGTTGCGCATCTACTGCAACAACACAGTCTGCAGCAGACTAAGATGGGTTTGATAGCTGGAATGGATAAATGCAAGCACTCACTATATTTTTGTAATTCACCACCTTATTCTGATCATGCTTGAATTTCATTTTTGGATGGGCTACTGCAGTTTGGGCAAACATACAGGATCTGATGTATGAACAGTTTGAAAAAGACTTTAAGTGTTTGATCGACCTCATGACGGAAAATCTAACTGGGAACTTCTTTCTAAGATCTGTTAAAACGGAAGATCAGTAGCTGATTATGTACCAGAGTTTCGTACTCTTGCTGCCGGAAGTGCCTGGAACGAATCAGCTTTTTGTAACAGGCTTAACTCTGATGTACTGGCAGAATTAGCATGTAAAGATGAAGGACTAATCCTACAGGAGTTATATAATTTAGCAATTTGTCTAGATCATCTTTTACACTCCAGGAAACCTCGATCATCTTCATGCTCCAGTACTACCTCTCAGCCTCGTAGAAGCAGCGAAAGACCCAGACCACGACTTCCAGCAGGACAGAACCTACAAGGATCCAACATAGACCCAAGTCCTATGCAGTCTTACCATTTGACCTAGGAAGAAAGGCTTCGTCGTCTTCATTGAGGTTTATGCATGTACTTTGGCACAGCTGGTCATGTTTTACATGACTGTCGGGCTCATCCACATAGGCTTCAGGTGGCGATACCTGGAAAGCATGTGTAGTAGAGTGGTGAGTATTTCCACAAAGGGTTTGGTATCAAAGTCTCCTCCCAGTTACTATAGACTGCCCTCAGCCTTTTTCTTCTTTTGTTTGTTTCCGGAGCTGAAGGGAGCTTCATACATTCAAGAGTGGTAGAGCAATTGAAAATTTCAGTGGAACCCCTGACACAACCACTCAAGCTCTCAGCGCTGGATGGGGATCCCTTAGGCACAGGAATTTTAATAGGCCCCAAGTAACTGTTTACTCAATTTCCATAGAGAGCCCCAACACTGAGACAAAAATGCATAGCCCCCTTGTAGAACATAAATACAAAACAAATAAGATAAAAGAAAATTATATATGTACACATTAGACTCTAAATATATACACATATACAAATTATACACATTAATGTACACCACTATTATACTATTTCTGAGGATGTGGGGGTTCATGCCAAACCTCCTCAGCCGCCTGAGGTAGAAGAGGCGCTGTTGTGCCTTCTTTACCACTCGTGTGGTGCGTTGTGTCCATGTCAGATCCTCTGTGATGTGAACACCAAGGAACTTGAAGTTGCTGATCCTCTCTACAGTGGTTCCATTGATGGTGATGGGGGTGTGCACTTTCTCTTGCTTCCTGAAGTCCACTATGAGCTCCTTGGTCTTGTTGACATTGAGAGAGAGGTTGTTCTCCTGGCACCAGTGTGTCAGGAAGCTGCCCTCCTGTCTGTAGGCTTCCTTGTTGTCATTGGAAATCAGCCCCGCAATCGTGGTGTCATCTGCAAATTTGATTATGATATTGGAGCTGTGTCTGGCTGAACAATCATGGGTGCACAGAGAGTACAAGAGAGGGCTTAGCACACAGCCCTGAGGAGTAACCCTGGCTGAATCTGGAACTGGCACAATGGTGGCTAGCTTGAAGCATGCAGGAACAACTGAGAGGGTGAGAGAGATGTTAAAAATATCTGTAAACACTCCTGCTAACTGATGTGCACATGCTTTGAGGACACGTTCAGGAATGCCGTCAGGTCCAGCCACCTAGCGGATGTTAACGTGCTTGAAGGCTCTGCACATGTCAGCCACCGAGACGGAGAGGGGATTTGACTCAGCTGTAGCGGGGGGGTGGGGGTCTTTCCAAGAGCACTGCGTGATTTATCTCAAAACAGACGTAGAAAGTGTTCAGCTCATCTGGAAGTGCAGCGCTGATGTTATTTTCGGAACGAGTTTCCCTCTTAAAGTCCGTTATTGTGTTTAACCCCTCCCACAGGCTTCTCGTGTTGGTGGTGTTGCACTGAGATTCCACTTTAGCCCTGCACTCATGTTTGGCTGCTCTTGTGGTATAGAGCATAGCTGGCTTTTTTATACTCATCCGTGTTTCCTGATTTAAAAGCAGCGGTATGCGCATTCAGAGCTGCACAGACTTCAGAGTTGAGCCACGGTTTCTCATTGGGGTAAACATGAACTGTTTTTGTGGACTCAACATCCTCTATGCACTTTCTGATGAAACCGGTAACCCAGTCTGCATATTCATCAATATTATTATTTGGCATCTCCCGGAACAGCTCCCAGTCTGCATCGTAAAAACAGTCCTGGAGCGCAGAATCTGATTGGCCTGACCAGCGGTGGACCTCCCTGATGGTGGGCGGTACCCTTTTCAGCTTCTGCCTATAGGTGGGCAGGAGCAGGATGGAGAGATGATCCGATTTGCCAAACGGAGGCTGGGAGAAGGCTTTGTATGCCTCACGGAAGGGGGAGTAGCAATTGTCCAGCGTGCATGACTTACATGTGCTGCATGAGATGTGTTGGAAGTACTTTGGAGCAACTTCTCTAAAGTTTGCTTTATTAAAGTCCCCAACAACAATGGAGGTGGCCTCCTGCTGTGCAGTCGCTTGCCTGTTAATAGCCTCATACAGTTTCCCATGTGCCAGGTCTGTATCAGCCTGTGGGAGGAGCAGAAAGACTCAATGAAGTGTACATTCCTCTGATCACACCAAGTATTGTTGATCATAAAACATACACCTCCCTCTTTACTCTTCCCGAAGAGGTCCTTTGTACTGTTTGCGCAGTGCACAGTGAACCCTGCGGGCTCAATGGCCTCGTTGGGAATCTCTGCTGATAGCCAGGTTTCTGTGAGGCAGATTATACAACAGTTCTGTGTCTCTCGTTGGAAAGAGATCCGTGCCCTGAGTTAACTAATTTTCTTGTCCAGGGACTGTACATTTGCCAGTAGTATGCTGAGGAGTGGGGGGCATTTAGCACAGTCTCTCAGCCCGACCAGTACGCCAGCTCTTCTGCCCCATTTTTGGAGTCTGCAGCATTTCTTTGGTCTGTTGGCCCAGATGAATAGGGCTTCTTTGAGGTTCCCAAACAATGGATCTGCGTTCAGGAACTCAAAGTCCAGTTTTCAGTGACTGATCGTCGATCTGATTTCCAAAAGTGTTTGTCTGACGTACACAAAGGTGCTGGCATAATTTAGTGCAAAAATAGTAACAGACAAACACACACAACAATTCTTCACATCAGGAGAATCATTAATCACAGAGCCTTAAATAAGATCACAAAATAATACCCATATCCATTACCATTGGTACCAGCAGCACTAAAACTGCTAAGCTTGATCTCCATATTGCATATAACCTTATCCGCATTAAAGAGGGTGATGAGTGGAAGACTGCTTTCTCCACTAACAATGGGCACTACGAACACTTTATACTACCGTTCAGACAGTCTAAAGTGCCCTCTGATAGGGAACTTTCAGCAACAAAATTAGCTTGAGAAGAAAGATGATATTAGCTTGAGGGGGCCAAACACCCTTTCCTCATTCTAACTGACCACAAGAATCTTGAATATTTACCAAATACTAAATGACTCAACCCTCGCCAAGCTTGTTGGTTCTTATTCTACTCCCATTTTCAGTTTACCACTACTTATAGACCCAGTTCCCACAACAAAAAAGTGGACTTCTTGTCACAAAATCTTGCAAACAACAACAAAAAAACAGTACTTGGTCCACCTGAGAACATCATTGCCCCTGATTGTGTACTGGCCACTGTTAGAGGGATTAGATGATGAAATAGACAGGGTGTACCTATAATGTCCTCAAGATAAGAAGTACATACCTGTGCAATTTAGGGATCAGTTAATTACTTTAATTCGTCCCTCTATTGGTGGGAAAATATGTTAGCCGATGTTCACCATTTTGTGATATCCTAGAAGCCAACTAGGTGAGTCCCGTAAGGGTTGTGCCGGTGGATGTCTTAGGGGTCCTCCAAAGAAAACTTTGTCCGTCCAGCGCCTCGTCAGCCCTGGTGGTGCCAAAGGCATCCCCAGCGATGCGGTTGGTGGTTGTCGTAGTAGCCCTCGACCATTGGCCGCACCGGGCTCCTTGGGTGGGGTACTGTCAGATGCCTTCTCTACTTGTTCCCTGTTTTCTGCTACTCACTTATGTAACTTATGTAACTTATGACTCCCCCATCATCACCATCTACCAATGAACATTCATTCCAGCGCTCTTCCTGACTGGATTTCTAGTTGTCACACCTGTTTGTCATTTAATTTCATTAGTTATATGGTATAAAAGCTCAGGCTTTAGTTTAACACACTGTGAAGTATTGCCAACAATTCCGCTTTGTGTACTGAACGTTTTCTGTCTGTAAGTCTTCCCTGTGTATGACCTGTTTTTGTGTTTTTGACTTTTTGTGTTTGCCCTTCTTGACTTGATTGCTGAACCTTACTGATCTCTTGGTTTTTGAACTTAGACTGGTTACTGGATTCTTTCTTGATGTCACTTTTTGTTTTGGTTATCATGCTCTTTGGCCTATTATGACTATGCTGTTTGTGACACTCCACAACCCTCAAGTAAACCACAACCTTGTCTTTTAATCTGCAAGTGTCTGATCTATTTTGACTTTCTGACAAACTGTTGGGCCAGTCCTGCAATTAACCAGATATGCGATTGCTAACTCTCGCAGACACTTGAATATCTTTAACCATCTATTTGAAATATAAAGTTATGGGATAAGTAGGAGCCTTTTGAAAAAAATATATATGCTTGAATCAGAGGGATTATAATACTTGATCTTCACTTTATTGTCTTATCCATACAGGCCAAACTCAAGCTCCAGAGGAGTTAAGCAGAATGGAGGTATGTGTGATCTACAGTCCAGTATGAACCTGATATGAACCTGACATAGGTGCTGGCTGGATACTTTAATTCTATTGTTATGATATTGATTAGATCAGGATGATGATGATCTTTCTACCAATTTGATAAACATTTTGGTCTTAATCAGACACGTTTGTACATTAATGGACTTCAGACCGAACATTTAATGGCAAATTTAACTCTTAATTCACTATTAACATATTTGTATGTCCTCTTACTGCCACAGCAACACAAAGTGGAGGCGAACAAGTGAGTCACTTTGTTCATTCACCATCTCAACAACACTGTTTTAGTGTTGATCATAACCATACAGATTGTACTGTTATACACTCTACACCACAAAGACTGGAAAAGAGATGTTGTTTCAGTCAGTGCAGATCTTAAAGAGAGTCACTGAAGAATTTGACCTCAAATATAACAGACACCTGGTAGCTGCAGACACTTGGGATAATATTTTTTATAAGGAAGTACATCAAGGAGAGTTTTTTCAGACATTAACATGTATGGGCTATATTAGTATGAGCAGTGTGTTTTACTAATTTTTAAATTTTTTACTGATTTTAAATTTAAGTTAAGTAAATTTAAATTAAGTGGTTGAAATGTAAACAGGGTAATTCAGAGTGGTTTGATATGAAATGGTTAATGGTAGAGAAACTTGCCGAGTCAGAATCGTTCACAATGGTGGTGATAGGAACCAGACATCCAACTCTAAAAGTTTTTAAGGAATATTCTTTACAGTTCATGTATATTTTTATGTTGTAGACATCATGTCTGTCACCACCACTGTAAAGAAATCTGAGTTGGTCAGTTTCTCTACAATCAAACCACTCTGAACGGCTTTGTTTACATTTGATATTTAAATTATGCAGATTTTTGTAAAAAATGGTGGAGTGACAGCTGACCTGACTGCTGACCACACCCGCTGCGACCCAGAAGGATAAGCAGTTTAAAAATGTGTAAAATGTAGATGATAGCCAGCTGACTAAGCTGAGAGCCAATTTATCAACAATGCTTAATGAAGTCAAGCAAAGTGCAACACTAGCATAGACTTTACAGCGTGGTTATTTTCCCTCAGGAGCACCACTATGAGGACGTTCTATATTTCAAGAATATTCATCCCAGCAGAACTCATAAACAGGTAAGCAGTCCTTTTACATTTAATATATCACTGTCCAAAAAAGAATCACCAAAATAGTAACTGTACAAAAGAAGGCAAAAATGGTCCAACCGTTTAATACAGGTTCATGTAAAGAAATTTTATTCCAAGTGATTTTGGAGTATTTCTGTTGATCCATTCATCATGAAATTTTCACACAATGTAAATGATGGCTGCTGTGTTCAAATGATGTAGGAAAATAAAAATGGAATTCAATAGAACATTTTTTCTCCATTTTTTTTTTCTAATTTGATCTATGCCACTGCTCCATATTTTATATTAATACTCATAATCTTAGTGTGCTTCTTTTTTGTCTTAGGAACCAGAATATGAAAACACTAAAAGACTATCTTGATGGACTCAGCAGAATCAGGTGAGCAGCTCAGTTTTCTTTTAGTGAGGGATTCACTGAGGCAGTTTGCTCAGTTAAATGATAAAATCTTTGGTGTGAATTTTATATGCATGTTATAACCGGTTGGTGTGGTGTAGTGGGTCTGTAACACTGTTACTTCAGCATTAAAGTTTATAAATGTTTGCTCAACAGGACACCTGAAGAGGATATTGACTTCTCACCAGCTGACATGGTCAGAGAGGAAGACCTTTGTCTCTACGCTGACCTGCTGTTATCAATGTGTCATTTAAAGCCAGGTGTAGACTTTTACTATTTGTTTTGTAATTATATTAGTGTATTTGTTTATATGATGTTTGTATGATGTTTGTTTGTGATACTTATTTATAATATTTTTCTTTAAAAGTTGTGATAAAGGGCTTTATTCGTCAATGTTGTGTGAAAACAACGTATTGCTTCCCGATGCGGTTGGGAACTCTGTAGTGATGCAACAGAAGATTTTTTTTGCAATTTTTATGTACTATGTGCTTCACAGCTTGCATGGTCTAGCGCTTGCATGGCTGAGCTGTTGCTCCGAGATGCTTCCATTTCACAATAATAGCACTTACATTTGACTATTAGCAATTAGTTAACATTTTATCTATTAACATACATTATTTTTTTATTATGAACTTGACACAATGTTGCCTTGTACACATTCCAGTCTGATTTTAGGGCTGGTCAAAGTACTGTCCCTGCTTTTTCTCCGGTTGTAAACTTTATTACTTATGCTTCAGATAATAAACTTCACTGTGGAGCCTATGGTGACTCATAGCAGTCAGAAAGAACTTCTCAAAGTTTTGTTGTAATGATAAAAAATGAAATGATAAATGAAAAAAAAAAATAACAACACATAACTAGGAGTGTTTTATCAGTATTTTCTAAACTCAGTGATCTTCCACCACTTTATCATAATGCTTTATTTTTACTTATCATTTGTTATTATTTATGTATTTATGTATGTTTTACTGCTGGTATATTAGCAACTTCCTCCAGCTAATTCCAGGTGATCCCAAACCAGTCCCAGGCCACCTTGGAGATCTAATCCCTCCAACGGGTCCTAGACTGACCTTGGGGTCTTGTTCCAGTAGGCTGTGCTTTGTAAACCTCCATCAGGAGGTGGCCAGGGGGCATCCTGATCAGGTGCCTGAACCACCTCAACTGGCTCCTCTCAATGTGGAGGAGTACAGGCTCTAATTTGAGCTTCTCCTGGATGACCAAGCTCCTCACCCTATCAAGTAGAGTGAAGTCTGCCACCCTGCGAAGAAAGCTCATTTCCGCAGCTTGTATCTTTCAGTCATTACCCAAAGCTCATGACCATAGGTGAGGGTTGGGATGTAGACCGACCAGTAAACAGAGAGCTTCACCACTACTGTCCGGTACAGCGACCGCATTACTGCTGCTGCCTGTCCCAGCCTGTGACTGATCTCATGATTCCTCTTCCCATCACTTGTAAAACAAGACCCCAAAATAATTAAAACTCCTACACCTGTGGCAGGTCCTTTCCCCTTTTCCTGGAGTCAGCATGCCATCCCTTTCCATGCTAGGACCATGGACTCAGACTTGGAGGTGATAATCTGCACACCAACTGCTTCACACTCAGCTGCAAACCGCTCCAGTGAGCGCTGGAGATATCCATGCGATGGAGCCAAAGAGACAACATCATCCGCAAACAGTGGCGATGCCACCCTCTGGTCTTCACACATAATGCCCTCCTGACCATGGCCATGCCTTGACACCCTGTCCATGAATATCACAAACAGGAGTGGGGCCAAGGCACAACCTTGGCAGGATCCAACACTCACAATGAATGAGCTCGACTTGATGCCAAGTATACAGACACAACTCTCACTCCAGGAGTACAGAGACTGAACGGCCCGGAGTAGTGGCCCCATCCTCTTGGATGACCTCCCACAGAATATCTCACGAACCATGGTCGTAAGCCTTCTCCAAGTCCTTAAAACACACGTAGACTGGGTTGGCAAACTCTCATGCCCCCTCAACAATCTGTTTGAGGGTGAAAAGCTGGTCCATTGTTCCACAGGCAGGACGGATTCTGCACTGTTACTCCTCAATCCGAGGTTCGACTATCGGTTGGAGTCTCTTTTGCAGTACCTTGGCATAAACTTTCTCAAGGAGGCTGAGCAGTGTGATGCCCTGGTAATTGGTACACACTCTCTGGCCCCCTTTTTAAAAATAGGGACCACCACCCCGGTCTGCCAGTCTCAGGGTACTGTTCCCAAGGTCCATGCGACATTGCAGAGGCATGTCAGCCATAACAGCCCCAAAACATCCAGAGTCTTAAGTATTTCCATGCGAATATCATCCACCACCGGTGCCTTAAAATCATTCCAAACAGGGGCCTCTGCCAGTCATTCCCAGCACACCCTCACTATTTGCTTGGGTCTACTGGGTCTGACCACCAGTCTTCCCTTCCATCTGATCCACCTCACCACTTGATGGTGATCGGCTCACAGCTCAGCACTTCTCTTCACCCAAGTGTCCAGAACATATGGTCCCAAGTCAGAAGAAACAACAACAAAGTCAATCATTGACCTTTGACCCAAGGAGCTCTGATACCGAGTACACTTATGAACATCCTTGTGTTCGAACTTGGTGTTCATTATTGAAAATCTATGACTAGCAGAGAAGTCCAATAACAATTTACCACACTGTGCAGGAATCTGGGTCTCCAGTCTGTATCAGGGTATGAGAGCTGAACAATTTTATTGAGACTCATCCAGGAATAATTATTGTAATCCACAAAAGGATCAGCGCACAGGCACACGCAATCAACCAGCATATACGTAATACAAAGTCAGGAAGTGGACAACAAAGGTAAAAAACAGAAGAATTTAGAAAGAAACACAGAAAACTAGGAACAAGGCCATATATGACTAGAAAATACGGAACTAGGAAGTAGGCTTAGAAATACAAAGCATAACACACATGAGGAACTCATTTATATTTACAGAAACAGTATTTACATAAAAACAAATACAATTTATGGCTATGATCACTCATAGCAGTCAGAAAGAACCTCTCAAAGTTTTGTTGTAATGATAAAAAATGAAATGATAAATGAAAAAAAAAATAATGGAAACATAACTAGGAGTGTTTATCAGTATTTTCTAAATACTTTTTTTCTCAATGACCATCTTCCACCACTTTATCATATTACTTTATTTTTACTTATTATTTGTTATTATTTATGTATGTATATGTTTTAATCATGTATGTGCTTAAATGTAGTTTTTACACATTTCTCACTGCTGTTTACAGACTTGCTTTGTATGTGAAAGTAGTGAAAAATGCTGTCCCAGTCAGAGGTGTATTTTTTCTGTCATTTTTATAGTTTTCCATTCTTAAACTGAACAGAAGCTATCAATCCCTTCATAAAAATGTATGAAGTGCATTTGTGCAGTTCTTTTTTACTGCTGGTATATTAGCAACTTCCTCCAGCTAATTCCAGGTGATCCCAAACCAGTCCCAGGCCACCTTGGAGATCTAATCCCTCCAACGGGTCCTAGACTGACCTTGGGGTCTTGTTCCAGTAGGCTGTGCTTTGTAAACCTCCATCAGGAGGTGGCCAGGGGGCATCCTGATCAGGTGCCTGAACCACCTCTACTGGCTCCTCTCAATGTGGAGGAGTACAGGCTCTAATTTGAGCTTCTCCTGGATGACCAAGCTCTTCACCCTATCAAGTAGAGTGAAGTCTGCCACCCTGCGAAGAAAGCTCATTTCCGCAGCTTGTATCTTTCAGTCATTACCCAAAGCTCATGACCATAGGTGAGGGTTGGGATGTAGACCGACCGGTAAACAGAGAGCTTCACCACTGCTGTCCGGTACAGCGACCGCATTACTGCTGCTGCCTGTCCCAGCCTGTGGCTGATCTCATGATTCCTCTTCCCGTCACTTGTAAAACAAGACTCCAAGATACTTAAAACTCCTACACCTGTGGCAGGTCCTTTCCCTTTTCCCTGGAGTCAGCATGCCATCCCTTTCCATGCTAGGATCATGGACTCAGGCTTGGAGGTGATAATCCGCACACCAACTGCTTCACACTCAGCTGCAAACCGCTCCAGTGAGCGCTGGAGATATCCATGCGATGGAGCCAAAGAGACAACATCATCCTCAACAGCGGCGATGCCACCCTCTGGTCTTCACACATAATGCCCTCCTGACCATGGCCATGCCTTGACACCCTGTCCATGAATATCACAAACAGGAGCGGGGCCAAGGCACAACCTTGGCGGAATCCAACACTCACAATGAACGAGCTTGACTTCATGCCAAGTATACAGACACAACTCTCACTCCAGGAGTACAGAGACTGAACGGCCCGGAGTAGTGGCCCCATCCTCTTGGATGACCTCCCACAGAATATCTCAGGAAACATGGTCGTAAGCCTTCTCCAAGTCCACAAAACACACGTAGACTGGGTTGGCAAACTCTCATGCCCCCTCAACAATCTGTTTGAGGGTGAAAAGCTGGTCCATTGTTCCACAGGCAGGACGGATTCTGCACTGTTACTCCTCAATCCGAGGTTCGACTATTGGTTGGAGTCTCTTTTGCAGTACCTTGGCATAAACTTTCTCAAGGAGGCTGAGCAGTGTGATGCCCTGGTAATTGGTACACACTCTCTGGTCCCCTTTTTAAAAATAGGGACCACCACCCCGGTCTGCCAGTCTCAGGGTACTGTTCCCAAGGTCCATGTGACATTGCAGAGGCATGTCAGCCATAACAGCCCCAAAACATCCAGAGTCTTAAGCATTTCCATGCGAATATCATCCACCACCGGTGCCTTAAAATCATTCCAAACAGGGGCCTCTGCCAGTCATTCCCAGCACATCCTCACTATTTGCTTGGGTCTACTGGGTCTGACCACCAGTCTTCCCTTCCATCTGATCCACCTCACCACTTGATGGTGATCGGCTCACAGCTCAGCACTTCTCTTCACCCAAGTGTCCAGAACATATGGTCCCAAGTCAGAAGAAACAACAACAAAGTCAATCATTGACCTTTGACCCAAGGAGCTCTGATACCGAGTACACTTATGAACATCCTTGTGTTCGAACTTGGTGTTCATTATTGAAAATCTATGACTAGCAGAGAAGTCCAATAACAATTTACCACACTGTGCAGGAATCTGGGTCTCCAGCCTGTATCAGGGTATGAGAGCTGAACAATTTTATTGAGATTCATCCAGGAATAATTATTGTAATCCACAAAAGGATCAGCGCACAGGTACACGCAATCAACCAGCATATACGTAATACAAAGTCAGGAAGTGGACAACAAAGGTAAAAAACAGAAGAATTTAGAAAGAAACACAGAAAACTAGGAACAAGGCCATATATGACTAGAAAATACGGAACTAGGAAGTAGGCTTAGAAATACAAAGCATAACACACATGAGGAACTCATTTATATTTACAGAAACAGTATTTACATAAAAACAAATACAATTTATGGCTATGATCACTCATAGCAGTCAGAAAGAACTTCTCAAAGTTTTGTTGTAATGATAAAAAATGAAATGATAAATGAAAAAAAAAAATAATGGAAACATAACTAGGAGTGTTTATCAGTATTTTCTAAATACTTTTTTTCTCAATGACCATCTTCCACCACTTTATCATATTACTTTATTTTTACTTATTATTTGTTATTATTTATGTATGTATATGTTTTAATCATGTATGTGCTTAAATGTAGTTTTTACACATTTCTCACTGCTGTTTACAGACTTGCTTTGTAAG